GGGGGGGGGGGGGGGGGGGGGTAGTGAGTGGGTACGTGGCAGGCTGAGTATCTTAGTGGGCAGCATCCACTGTGGGAGGGGCACACCCATGTGCTCAACAAAGGCCATGATATGGTACCTGCACCGTCACATCCACACACCCCACAGACACACATGGGAGCATCTGGCGCGTGTGGGCGCCTGTGTGTGTGTTTGAAGCCTCGCTTACATTGGGTTGTTCGCCTCTTGCTGCGCGACGGTCACCATGACGTTGGAATGGAACACATAGGGCGACAGGAACACCCAGAAGATGTCGTAGAAGAACAGCCCGCAGAAAAGAATCACTATCGCCCACCCTGCACACAGACACACACGTCACAGCAGCTGTGGAATCTCTGCATGGACTGGACGGCCAAAACCCTACCGTTGGTGATTCTGAGTATGACCATGGCGAGGACAGCCATCGAGAGTGCCAAGAGCGAGCAGACCGCCCAGTGGCTTGTCCACAGCCAGAGGACGATCATGGCTACGGAAAGCAGCGACACCAAAACATGGCCGTAGGTGGGCGACACCCTGCACACCACACACGACACACAGACAGACAGCAGTGGATGGATGGATGGACACACGTGTGTGTACCTGTAGACCGGTTCCAGCACAAAGGGGACGCTGATCGTTGCCTGCAGATGAGATCCGCATACACACGCACACACGCACACACACGATTCACAATGACTTGCGTGTGTCCGTCCTTCTGCGCATATGTGCGATGTATACCAGCAGCAGGACGTACAGCGTCAGGAAGATCATGATGTCTTTGAAGAAGAACAGCAGTATCAACACCACTGAGCCTGCTATGGGCAATAACCACGCCTGCAGCCAGGCAGGCAGCACACAAACGCACGCAACACATAGCTGCCGCCACTCAAACGTGTGTGCGTGTCTGTGGTTACTTGTGCAGGGGTGATCGACGCCGCGTCGGTCGGCATTGACACGGACACACCACCCAACAGCCGCATCCTGCACTCACCCACCCACCCACCCACACACGGAGAAAGAGAGAGAGAGAGACTCTTGGTTGACCATATAGCACACACGACCAGAATGCTAACCCACGGAAGATTGAGCACGTGTGTGGATGTCACTAAGTGAGCGTGTGTGTGTCCGAGAGAAGGCCTTGTGTGTGTGTGTACCTATCGTCTGCCTGTGTCTGTGTCTGAGTCTGTTGCCCAGACTCCTCTGTGTGCACAGGTCTGTCTGTCTGTGTCTGCAGATGTACGTGCCTGAGCGTCTTGCTCTTCTCCTTCTGCACACACACGTAGCACCCGTACGCTGTCGTCAAAGTCGGCACCAACACCTATGTGTAGAACACACACACACACACACACACACACAAAGACAACACACACACAGAGAGTGATGTGCGCCTGCTCCTTCCTCCCTGCCTCTGTGTTACCTACCATGGTGAGCAGCTCGACAGCTGCGAGCAGCACCGACATCGTTTGAGTCGTTGTTGGCAGGATGGGATGTGCACACCAACTGCCGCCTCTCTGTGTGCTTTCTTGTCGTTTCTTTGCAAACGACTCTTGCGGAAAGAGCCCGAGATGTGCGAGCTCAAATTTCTGCTCAGAAGAGGGCGCTGCCGTGAATACGCAGCTGTTGACAGACGTGAGCAGGCAGCTCTGCGCATTGCACCAGTTGCGCGAAAGGACCAGCAATCGGATCATCCCCCAGTTGTGTTGGTCTGTCGTCTGTGTGTATGTGCACAGGTAGGGATAGATCTGTATGTCCAGGATGCTGCCCGTCCGGCTGTTGATGCGACGCGCCACTTGTGCGGCCCACAGAGGTCAGCCCAGCGACCAGAGCTGAGATATGAAATCATGGCGTGAAATGTGTGTGTGTGCAGGCCTGTTTGTTGTGGGGCGGCCTTTTTCAACGTACGTGGGATGCACGCCAATACAAAACGCACACGTTCATTTGCGTGTCTGCCTGTGCGTGTGTGTGTGTGTGTGTGCAGGTATTACTCCAAGAGCCACGAGTGGTTCAAGGTGGAATTGTGTGCACACAATGAATGGCCGGACAACATTCATTCATTCATTCATTCATTGTGGTGGGTAAATGCCTGTCTGTGTTCAGGTTGACGGCAAGGTGGGCACACTCGGCATCACCAACCACGCACAGGTGTGTTCCGTACGTCTGGATGCACGATACGATTGTGTGTGGTTGGTGATCGATTTGTGTGAGCGCTGGTGTGTGTGTGTGTGTGTGTTCACAATACAGGAACAACTCGGCGAGATCGTCTTCGTGGACCTGCCCGACGTTGGTGCGCACAGATCTTATCAACACACGTGATTGATCGATCTATGCAGTGCGGTGCAGTGCAGTGCATATCCATCCAACTGCACTACACCGTCCATTGTGTTGTGTCTGCAGGCAAGTCAGCGTCCAAGGGCAGCGGGCTGCTGTCACTCGAGAGTGTCAAGGCCGTGGGCGAAGTCTACAGGTACACGGACAACCACACCGCGGCACCATACCATACGCACAGCTCCACGCATCCATCCATCCATCCGTGTGTGTGTGTGTGTGGTGTGCAGTCCGGTTGACGGCAAGGTGATTGAGCAGAACGGGGAGCTTTCAAACAATCCCAAACTCGTCAACGAGGTCTGTCAGTGAGCCCACACACACATGCTGACCATAGTCATGTGTGGAAGGGATGGCGGACGCGTTGATGCGTGGTGCGTGTGTGTGAAGGAGCCTGAGAGCAATGGCTGGCTCGCCAAGATCGAATTTCAGGGAGAGGTACGCTACGCCGCACACACTTACACACAGACTGTCTACACACGAAGCCCATCGGCGTGTGCTTGTGTGTCCATGTCTGTCTGTCTGTGTATAGGTGTCGGGGATGCTCACACGCGACGAATACGACCAGTTTGTCAAAGAGGAGGCCGCATAGACAGACAAACAGAAAGGCAGACAGACACATGACAGACGCACGATGGACGCACACGCACACACACACGCATGGCTGCGTGAGTGCGTGTGCGTCTGCCTGCGTGTCTGGGTGTGTTGTACACTTATGTGATGGACGGCAGATCAGATCGAGGGTTTGCGAGGGATGGCTAGCGTTGATGAATAATGAGTTGAGTGGATGAGTTTGATTGCATACTCAGTGGACAGATAGGGGCGAGGCATTTTTGTCTGAGCATGTCATGTGTGACTCCATGATGCTTTCATCATGTCATGAGCACCGTGTGTGTGCGTGTCTGATGGACCGACCGACCGACCGACCGTCTGTCTGCAGGGATGCCTTGATTAACCAAAAGCGATCGGGCAAAGCCGTTCGAGCGGGAAGGGGTACGTAAGAGTGACTGATCCCCTCCCTCATTAACAACAGAGCCATGTCAGCTGTCGTATCTGAAAAATCAAAACAGCTATCAAATACGTCAGTCAGTAACTGTACATGTCGAGATTGTCGATTGTCTGCGCGAGGGACAGACAGACAGACAGCGAGAGAGGCAGACAGGCACGCTGCTGTAGTGATGCCTACATCTCTGTTGTGCGCCCAAGTGATGATCCGATGGATGACCGCCAGGCGGCCCCGGGCGTGCTGTGTGTGTGTGTGTGTGTGTGGCGAATGGATGAAGACTGCTGATCACATGACTGAATGACATCTGTGCATTTATGCTCACAACGCATAAGTCGATCAACCACACGGCGCAGCCTGACGAACACTATGATCAGGCCTGGCGCAGCCGCGTGTACCTTTCCACTCACCCGCCGCACTGCACCCACCCACTCATAGATAAACAAACGCATTCATTTGGCTCTCTGCCTCGAAAATCATACAGTACAAGTAAAGAAATTCTGTCTGCACGCAGTGCACTGTATGTGATGCAGGGAGTGGAGAGGCAAGACAGCAGGACATGTCTTGCAGGACAGATTGTTCTACACTGATGGGATGTCACAAACACACACAAAACAAAAAGCCCGAGATCGTACTGCCACACAGAACGACAGAGATTCGCAAGACGCTGATTCCGTCTCACCCCTTACAACACCAACGTACATCATCAAAAAGAGCGACGGTCACTAAGTAGATATTCGACAACTTGCCTACAGCCGTCCACCGAGAGCAGAGACAGTGTGTGCCCGAGTGAGTGAGTGAGTGAGTGAGTGAGACAGTGGGTAAGCAGTGTTGTTCCCTCACCTTTCGTATGATCAGGCGCTCACCCTGGCCATTCCCCCTATGCCATTCAGTCTCCTTCTCCTGTCTGCGTTCGCAAAGGGCCGCCAGTAAGTGATAGCCGCAAACCCCACGACGCCCGTCCCATCGCCCTCGTCCTTTGGCACCATTGACACGTAGAAATCGTCGCCCTCAGCCAGCCGCTGCAGGAAGGTCAGCTGCAGCCAACTCGATGTGGGCGAGGCCCTCGGCTGAATCACTGTCCCAGAGCCATCCACTGGCTCGCCCTGTCGCTCCATGGTTGCCACAAGGTCGAATGTCAGCTGGTTGCCGAGAGTTAGCCGCAAGACGTTGTTCGTCGTCACGTCGAGTTTCAGCATCATAATCTCATTGGCTTCAGGGGCGAAGGTGTACGTCAGATCGTTCTTGACTGTCTGTCGAAAGACCTCTGTCCCATTCTCGGCCGCGAGGATGAAGGTCAGCTCATTGCTCGCATCAAAGGGCGGCTGACTGGTGAGCGAGTCATCCTGTGCGATGGTCGCAGCTGAGAGAGTGTTGTTGTCCTCATCGACGATCGTCAGGGAAACGCTGCCGGGACCGTAATTCTACAACAGACAACACACACGGGCAGCACACATGGGACGTCACTCGTGTGTTGTCCCATCTGTTTGTTGTACCTGCACAGACAGGGAGCTTTTGCCCTGTGCCACAATGCCGCCGACCACAAAGAGATACGGCAGCGAGCCTGCTGTGGCTGGTACAACACGCTGCATTGATGGACACAGCACACAGGACAAACAGCCAAGATGCACATCAAGGGGTGAATCCAGGGTGAATGACATATCTTCTCGTACCGAGATGGCTTGTACTCTCGTTGAAGACTGCGCCAGCACAGCAGACGGCAGCAGCACGAAGACAGCAGCCAGGAGGCTCAACACAACGCACACAGATGACACCATCTTTCCTGACAGCAGCCACAGCACGCGCCTTCTCCTCCTGGTCTGGGAGACAACAGGCTATGAGAGAACCATGAGAGAGATCTAAGCTCGCAAGCGATCCTGTTCTGATTGAAACCGCTGCTGCATCCCGCAGATCTCACAAATCATGGCGACTGAACCAACCATGAGTGAGATTCCGATGGAAGCTGTCGACTCATCGGACCCATTTTACGGCGGCGGCGGCAGATCTGACGATGCATCACTCGTCCAGATTGACCCAGAGCAACAGCCTGACGCGGAGGGGAAGGAGGACAGGGTGCTCTCGAGGGTTAAGAACATCAGAGGGAGATCACGACTGGACCAAATTCCCGTTCGCGTGCGTGAGCGAGCACAAGACGCACAAGATACATTGGGCTTAACGGAAAGCACCTCGTCACATTGCCGGCATTGTCATTGTGTGTGCTGCAGGCAGCCACTCGGGCGTTGCAATCGGCAGCTGAGGCAGCAGGCGGACGGCTGACGGAGGACGCTTTCAGAAGTGCTTATTTGGAGCTGCTGTCACAGCACACAAGTTCCGAGCACGCCAAGCCGCCCTCCGAGAAGATCGTCAAAGGTGCGCTGCTGGACGCATCATTGTGGTGCGACTGGTGCTTCGCGTGTGCACTGCAGGTCTGTTCGGTTTGTTCGACAAGGACGGGAACGGCGTGGTGGATATGATGGAGATTGTGTGCGGCGTGGCGCTCATGGCACAGGGGGACGACCACGATAAGCTGCACGGTAGGCCGTGAATGGCTCGGACGAATAACAATCAGACAGCCAGACAGGCAGACGTCGCATGTGTTCCATTCAGCGGTGTTTGATGCGTTCGACGCCAATAAAGACGGCAGCATCTCATTCGACGAGATGCACAGATTCCTCGCATCAGGCAAGTGCATGACCATCACACACACATTGCCTGACTGCCTGCCTTGGTGCGCTTGCTGCAGTCTTTCGGGTGGTGCTGACGCCGAGCGTCAAGAGGGTCATCGAGTCACACGCTCAGCTGCAAAACGTCCAATCGGTACAAAAAATGTGTGCAGTCACGCTGATGTGGATGGATGGATGGATGGATGGATTCACGGCAGGCCGACGATCTCGCGCGTGAGACGACAGAGGATGCCTTCAGGCGGGCAGGCGTCAATCGTGACGGGAAGCTCACCATCGAGGAGTTCAAGAAATGGTCAGCACAGCAGCTGCATCCATGACACATTCTCACACTGCTGTGTGTGTGCCGTTCCGTGGCGTCAGGTTTTATGGGCCCTATGCGGGGCCGGATGAGACGGAGATAGCGGGCCCCTTGCGGGCACTGTTGAAGTAGGCGAGCATCTAGTAGGCAGCTAGGCAGGCAGGCAGGCAGGCAGGCAGTGTGTGGATGTGGCAGACATTACCTTTATTATGAACATAAATGGACACATTTCATTCATTCAGAGATGCTGTGAGCAGTCTTGTGGAGAAAGGGGATGGGTCGATGTATGTATGTACATATGTATGTACATATGTACATACATACACACGCATACATACATACATACGTCATTCAGTTGTGTGCATCAGCAGTCACCATTCATTCATTCACAAAGGAAGGACGCCAAAAAGTACAACAGGTCCGGTAGATACACACATTTGTACACGGGCATCACTCACTCATCGACAAACATTCATGGAGTGCACCACACGAAAAATCCCCACGCATGTGCTGTGCTGTGTCTGAATGGGTGACGTTGGAAATGAAGACATTCCCACTCAGTCATACGTATGACGACCAGTCTTCACACCACGTGTATGAGTCTTCGGACTGCAGTAGATGCACAGGCGGGCAATCTCCCGGAAGTACACCTACGCGGCGGCGCCGACGGCATAGGGCAGCACGTGCAGACGGAAGGCACTCACAGCACGCTGAATGGATTAGGCCCAGGCTGACGGAGAACACACCCGGAGAAAGGCGCGGCGAGATTTTCCCGCGACGAGACGGAGACGCCCCAAAAGAAAAAACCTCACCATTTTTTACCGGCGTTCGGCTTTTCAGCCTTGTTTCGGCCACGGATCCTCCGTTTCTTTTTCTTTTCGGCTGGTTGTTGGCTTGTGCTGTCCGCCGCATGTCCCTCTACCCCTGCCAACTCGTCCGGATTTCACCCGCCACTTTTTTCGGCCACCGGGTGTGCCGGGTGATTCCCCGTTCATGACGCCGTTCCACAGACCGCCACCGAAGAACGGCAGGGACTGAGAAGCCAAGAACAGGCTCATCGTCCACTCGATCGAGAAGGCGCCGCTGCCTTACGATGAGATGCTCCTCCAAGAGGTCACAGGGAGGGAGAAATGCACTCAAGAGTTGACATAACCAGCCGAGTGTATGAGTGGCTGTGTGGGTTTGTGTCTTCGTCCTGTAGTTTCCTAAGTTCCTGCTGGAGAACGTCGGCAAAAACGACTGCTACGCCAATGCGACGTTCCAGTCGGTGTTTCGCGTCATCCCGCTGGTCAAGTACCTCCTCAAACGTGAGCGTTGCCTTGACGCGCATGCATGCAGGAATCTATGAGTCCAATACCTTGGTTACGGCCTCCGCATGTGTGTGTTCAGACGGCGACTACCTGACCACGCACAAGACCGAGCTGGTCAAGCGGTACGAGGATCATCATGACACCCTCACAAGTAAGTACGCATGGAAAGACTCTGATATGCATCAGTCGCATGCCATGCTCCTATATATGATATGGCTATTTATTTGTTCCTCGATCAACATATGTACAGGACGCCTAGAGGCCGAGATCAGCAGGACGCTCGAGCGAAGCCCTCGTGACGACCCACAGACGGCACTCCTGTGGGAGACCCTCGTCCTGCTCTCGTACGAATTGCGTACTGATGCACGCACCTCATATATATTGCCCTTCTCTCATCCATGGACTCACTCACTCACTCACTCACTGATTTTGTTTGGCCAAACACCTCTACCCGCCAAGTGAGGCCGAGCAGCAGAAGGCCAAGAGGGGCAAGGGCAAGGGCAAGAAGAAGGCCAAGGAGGAGCACACACTGGCTGTGAGGGCCGAGAGTATGTACACAACGCTCGTGCGGTCTTCGGTCGACTCCGGTGCGCGGCCACACACTCAAAAAAGAAAGAACACCTTTCTTTGCGACATACACGTGTGTATCTGTGTGTGTGCATGGGTCCCATGCAGTGATAGGTCGCATGGAAGACGCCCACGCCGCTCGCGAGTGCCTCCTCGAGAACCTGCACTGTGAACTCGTGGCCGGTATGCATTCGAATTCATCCATGTAGTCACTGACTTACTGGGGAGACAGTTTGCGGAATGGATCTCTCTCTCTCTCTCTTTGTGTGTGTGTGTGTGTGTGTCTATGTATGTGCTATAGCTTCGGAGCTGGCCAGGACGAGGCACACCGACGCACCCCGCGACCTGACACTGCAGCAGGCCGGGACAGACATGAGCAAGAGAACGGCAGTGTCGGACATCTCCAGAGGTACGTCACACACAGACACAAACAGACACAGACAGACAGACAGACAGACAGAGAGTGTCTGCGTTGACGTAACCCCCTCCAGCTCAGTTACAGACTTGACTTGCAGGCGAGCTCAAGTCGACTGTGACGTGTGACGAGTGCGGCCATGTCTCCATCACCGATAGAGAGGCGACATGGTCCCTCAGCGTCCAGATACCCGTAAGCAAGCGAACGCCTATCCATTCCATTGGCCTTCTGCAAGAAATGTGTGTACTCTACGTACGTACATGACTTGCAGGCGGCCGTCGTTGACCTGACTGAGGAGACCGGCCAGCAGCCGAGCGCGGACGGGCGGGAGTGTGTGCAGTCCTTCTTCAAACCGGAGGAGCTCAAGGGCAGAGAACAGTACGCACATACCACACACACACATTGATTAGGACGCGACACGACACACGCCAACGTGACGCGACACACGCGTGTGACGTGTCTATGTGTACGTGTGTGTGTGTGTGTGTGTGTGTGTGTGTGCAGGTACTTCTGTGAGCGGTGTGGCCACAAGTGCAACGCAACCAAAAGGCTCTCCATGGCCACCGTGCCACCGGCCCTTTGCGTCCACTACAAGCGCTTCGGGGGCCACGAGCACACACACACACACACACAGAGAGAGAGAGAGAGAGCATGTTTGACCGACACACCCGCTCTGTGTGTGTGTGTGTGTGTGTGAACAGAATGAGACACACGTTCTCCTTCCCGAGGAGCTCGACGTCTCACCCTATGCCCAAAAGCAGACGGAGGGACACATACTGACATGTACGTAAGGGTGCACCCGCCACACCCACACACGCGCCACTCACTGGCAGGACGGAGAGAGAGACGGTCGATGGTTGGATGGATGTGTGTGTGGGTCTGTCTGTCTGTCTGTCTGTGTGCTCTCCTGACCGCAGCTGTCATTGAGCACCGGGGCAGCAGCCTTCACAGTGGCCACTACGTCGAGTACCACCGACACATCGCACCGAACGGCCAATGTAAGTGAGCAGTCAGTCCACTCGTATGTATGTATGTATGTATCCAAATCATGCATGCAGCCAAGTGGCTTGTGTTTGACGACCAAGTCAACATTATTGAAGAGGTCTCCCTCGACTTCGTGCTGCAGCACCAGGTGAGTGAAGAATGAGACCTTAGGAAGGCGGCCGGCGGTCCTCATTCAGTCAGTCATGGTATGCCTATGTGTGTGTGTCTCTGTCATCGATTCGTGCGTGCGTCCGTGCAGGCCTACATGGCCACCTATGTGCAGCCCAACGCCCTGGCTGCCGTGTCGCCGCCCGAGCTGGCCGAGGCGCCTGCCGACGGGCCCGATGCAGCGCAGCCGGCGGCCTCCAAGAAGGTGGCTAATCGTTGCCAACACATACCTTGACGCATGTCTCTGTTTGTTGTGTGTCTCTCTTTCCCGACAGACGTGACCAGGCCTCTTTGTTGGGACGGTCAGACGGTCGGGCAGTGGGGCGGGAGGGAGGCCGTGACTACCGCTGTCTACATTTTATATTTGCCGAGATATTGTCCGCTCTTCGCGTGCTCCTTTGCGAACGTTGATGCTGCCGTCGTCAGAGGCAGAGGACTTGACCATCCATCGAGTTGATGCATAATGTTGTGTCTCTGACGTCAATGCATGCAGATCAACTGACGTCCACTACGACCAGTGTTTGTTTCCTACTCATGCATGCAGCCGGGGAAGGGACACGTCAGAACAGCTGTCTGCTGTCTCTCACCCGCGCTACAACACCGTGCCCCCCAGCTGATCCCCCAGCACTCTCCGTAAAAACGAAGATCGATGCTTGTCGGTCTTTGGTATACATTCACTCTCTACGAGTACTTTAGATAGAGGCAGAGAGCCAAGTGAATGCCTTTGTTTATCTATGAGTGGGTGCAGTGTGGCGGGTGAGTGGAAAGGTATGTGCGGCTGCATCAGGCCTGATCATAGTGTTCGTCAGGCTGCGCCGTGTGGTTGATCGACTTATGCGTTGTGAGCATAACTGCAGACACTGGATTCAGACATCTGTATGAGTTGGTCTCCATTCGTTCACAACACACACACACAGAGCTAAGCCTGGCGCTCCTCCATCGGAACATCACTTCGGCGCATGAGGGTGGAGGAACAAAGAAAGGCGCACCGACGAAAAAACATCAGCCTTGTCCCATCACAAAGGCAAGACGTACGACCGTCGTCTCAACCCAATGCGTCCACTCACACATAAATGAGTGCACACACGAAGAGTTGAATCACTGCTTGCTACTGATACGTATCAGTCAGCCAAGGCACACGCGATGAGCACGCAAGTCACGCCATACGCTAGCCTCACACATGCCAGCCCATCCACACTAGAGAGAGTCAACACAAGGCAAGGCAAGGCAAGGCAAAGCACCGCACCGCAGACGCACCCGCAGGTCGCATACAGGCAGAGAGAGAGAGAGGGAAAGCCGTTGCTTGTCTGTCTGTCTGTCTGCCTGCCTGCCTCACCCTCAGTCAAGCACACCGTACTCCATCTACCGTGCCGCCCATTCACGTCTCTCTCTCTCTTCGCCACACCATGCCCCCCAGGTGGTCCCCCAGCACTCGCATCACGACAGAGCGCGTCTGGTCGTGGGGGGCCGACTCGGTCGTGTAGATGTGCACAAGGCGCCAAGCTCCCATCGTCCAATCCCCCGAATCCGTCAGATCCCCCGAAGCCGTCAGCTCGATGACTGCCATGTCCCCCTCGCCCATCGCCTCACTGCCGAACACCACCAGCCGATAATGCCATCCCGGCCTCTTGTCGAATACGGTCGCCCCCCATTGTGCCACATCGCTGGGAGGGGCCGCCAGCAGCTCACTCACACGCCGGGATGCAGCAGAAGTGAAACGGTCGGACAGCCAGTATCTGGCGCAACTGGTGTGGCCGCCGTCACCAAGCCAGCCGCGCAGGACAAAGGCAGCCATTGAAGTGTAGGTGGCATAAGTGCCGCAGTCGTCGGTGGGCGGGTCGGCGGGGTCGAATGTGTCATGGGGGAAATGGGGGCTGGGTTTGGTGAGGAGGGTGGGGAGACGATAGCCAAACGAGCGGTCGCGAATCTTGTCGCCATCCATCAGGGGTCTCTGATGGGAACCAATAGTGACCCCCCAGCTCAGCATCTTCCACTGGCGGATCGTCTCCGTCTCCCTCATGAAGGCCGCCCGGCTGCCGAAGACGCCGAAGTTGTCATCCCCCAGCACCAGTGGCCTCTTGCCTCTCAGCAGATACAGCATCTCCAGCACAGGTTTCCATCTGGCCCAGCTGCCGCCCCTCTCCATCATCCACAGCCGCCGGCTAAGCTCTTTGATGAGTGCTGTTATGCAGCAGCCGTGACTGAGTGCCTCAGGGAGCGGCAGCTGGGGGATTAGACACACGACGAGAGAACCGAGGCCGACAGCGGAGGGCAGGACGACCAACAGACGCTGCAGAATGGGCAGCAGGACGGTGGGGGTGAGTGTGCCATGGCGGCCCTTGTCGATGCGGCGGAAGGCACACAGGTCGGCATAGCTGCTGAGGCACTCAGCGATGGCCGGCGTCACTTCAGCAGGGAGGGCAGCGAACGAAACGCCCTCTCGCTGATTGCCGCCTGTGACCATTACACACACACACACACACACACACAGTGTTATTAGGTGTATCGGCAACCGTGTGTCTTTCTGCAGCGAACATGTTGGGTTACCATTGGCAGCAGACGCAGCCGATGATGTGCTACAAGTGCCAGCCCCGTCAGGAGCAGCAGCCGACATCTGCAATCAACGCCAACAGACAGGCATCAGTTGTGCATGCGGTGCTTCTGCCTTCGCTGGCCTCACCGTGAACAGCCCTGTCAGCCATCGCCAGGCACTGGACATGCCGGTGAAGCATCCCGGGGATTGGTTCATCCCGCTGCCGCAGACGAGATTGAGAGCAGCAGTCCTTGAGTGACAGATCTGCCACAAACACACAGACATCACGCAGACTGTCATCCCTCACGCCCTCGCCACCCCCTCTCTCACCCGTCAGATCAGCATCAATCAGACAGTTCAATCAGTTCGGGCGGGTCGATACTCTTCAAGCTCGCAAGTGAGAGGAGAGAACTCTCCGCTCCGCATTGTCTCTCAATCAGATGTCGTTTTCGTTACCTAAAGCCAGCGTGTTTGCCGAGTCCAGAAGTGAAGACGCGTGCTGTGGCTGCTGTGAGGGAAGATGGTGTCATCTGTGTGCGTTGTGTTGAGTCTCCTGGCTGCTGTTCCTGCCCTGCTGCCGTCTGCTGTGCTGGCCCAGACTTCAACGCAAGCACAGGCCTTCTCGGTACGAATGGGATCACGACGTGTCTTGATGTGCATGGTGATGTTTGTCCTGTGTGCTGTATGCAGCCCGTTTCGCGCCTCACGCCAGGCTCTCTCAACCACCTCGCTGTGATCGGTATTATGAAAACGGACGGGAGCTTCTCCCTGTATGTGCAGGTGCAAACAGATGGCATGGCTCATGGCACAATACAGGATGCATGTGGGTCATGTGGTTTATGCCATTCAGAACTTCGGCCCGGGCAGTGTTTCCCTGACGACCGTCGATGAGAGCAACAGCATTGTCTCATCTGCGACCATCTCACAGGACGACTCGCTCACCAGTCAGACGCCCTTTGATGCGAGCAATGAGATGACCTTCATCTTCGCAGCGGCGAACGGCACAGAGGTCTTCCGACAGACAGTCAACGGTCTGACGTACACCATCGCCCCTGAAGCCGACAACGATTCGATACTGAACCTCAAGATGACGACGAAGAATGTAGTACAGCTCACTTTCAGCAACCCCCTGCTCTTCGACCTTGTGGCGACCATAGAGCATGAGGGCGAGCAAGTGGATGCCTCTGAGACGGTGATTCCGCCAAGGGCCTCCCTCGCATCGGGTCGGCTGCAGCTGACCTTCCTGCAGCAGCTGTCTGAGGGGGATGGCTTATATGCATCCCTGAGGCCAAAGGACGAGAGCCATGGGACGGGCGTTGTAGGGTTTGTGGCCATCACCAACTGTCCGCCCATAGGCGATGCAGATAGGAGAAGGAGACTGAGGGCCATAGAGGGAATGGCCATAGAGGGAATGGCCAGGGTGAGCGCCTGATCACACATCAAAAGGTGAGTGATGGAACAACAAATCTCACTCACTCACTCACTCACAACACACGTTCTCTGCTCTCGATGTCTGGCTGTAGGCACTTCATCGTCGCTCTTTTGATGATATATGTTGATGTCGTAAGGGGTGAGACGGAATCAGCGTCTTGCGAGCCTGTGTTGTTCTGTGTGACCATACGTTCTCGGGCTTTTCGGTTTGTGTGTGTTTGTGGCATCGCATCAGTGTGGAACAATCTGTCCTGCTGTCTTGCCTTCCCACTCCCTGTACCACACAGTGCAGACAGAATTTCTTTACTTTATATACTGTATAGTTTTCGAGGCAGAGAGCCAAGTGAATGCGTTTGTTTATCAATGGGTCGGTGCAGTGCGGCGGGTGAGTGAACAATTGAGTGGAAAGGTACACGCGGCTGCATCAGGCCTGATCATAGTGTTCGTCAGGCTGCGCCGTGTGGTTGATCGACTTATGCGTCGTGAGCATAACTGCAGACACTGGATTCAGACATCTGTATGAATTGGTCTCCATTCATTCATTCACAACACACAGCCACAAAGCCAAGCCTGACGCTCATCCATCGGAACATCACTTCGGCGCATAAGGGTGGAAAAACATCAGCTTTTAACCCAATGCGTCCACTCACACATGAATGAGTGCACACACGAAAAGGCACACGCGATGAGAAGGGAAGTCACGCCATACATTAGCCTCACACATGCCATAGACCGTTCACGGGAGAGAGTCAACACAATGCAACGCACCACACAGTACACACGACATGCGCTTCGCATGCAGGGAGAGACAGACAGAGGGAGACTTGTTGCTTGGCTATTCATCTGTCTGTCTCACCCTCAAGCAATCGTAGTCTTAACTACGCATCCTGTCACCCATCCACCTCTATTCGTTCTCCCTTCGCCACACCTTGCCCTCCAGCTGATTCCCCAGCACTCTCATCGCCACAGTGCGCGTCTGGGCGAAGGGGGCCGACTCGGTCGTGAACACGATGACATACCGTCCATTCTCCCAGCCCACCAGCTCGATGACTGCCAGATTCCCCTCGCCCATCGCCTCACTGCCGAAGACCACCAGCCTATAATGCCATCCCGGCCTCTTGTCGAATACGGCCGCCCCCCACTGTGCCGCGTCGCTGGGAGGGGCCGCCAGCAGCTCGCCCACACGCCGGAATGCAGCAGTATCACGACAGTAAGACGACCAGTGCCTGATGTTATAGATGGGGCCGCTCATGATCAGCCGGCGGAACAGCTCGAAGGCCATCATCGATGTGTAAGTGGGGTACAGGTAGCCATTCAGCTGTGTGGGCGGGTCGGTGCCATCGAATGCATCATGACGGAAGAGGGGGCTGGCAGAGGTGACGAGGGTGGGGAGCTGATAGGCAGACGAGCGCTCGAGGATCTTATCGCGCACCATCAGCCTCATCTCTCGGCCGCCATGATCGACAGTGACCCCCCAGCTCAGCATCTTCCACTGGCGGATCGCCTCCGTCTCACTCATGAAGGCCGCCCGGCTGCCGAAGACGCCGAAGTTGTCATCCCCCAGCACCAGTGGCCTCTTGCCTCTCAGCAGATACAGCATCTCCAGCACAGGTTTCCATCTGGCCCACTTGCCGCCCTTCTCGAGAATGAACAGCCGGCGGCTGAGCTGTTCAAAGAGTGCCGTAACGCAGCAGCCGTGGCTGAGTGCCGCAGGGAGCGGCAGCTGGGGGATGGGCACCTCCACCAACACACCGAGGCCGACAGCGGAGGGCAGGACGACCAACAGACGCTGCAGAATGGGCAGCAGGACGGTGGGGGTGAGGGCGGTATGGCGGCTCTTGTCGATGCGGCGGAAGGCACACAGGTCGGCATAGCTGCTGAGGCACTCAGCGATGGCCGGCGTCACCTCAGCAGGGAGGGCAGCGAACGAAACGCCCTCTCTCTGACCGCCACCTGTGACCATTACACACACACAGAACTACAGGTGTATCATTCTGCCTTTCTGCAGCGAACATGTTGGGTTACCATTGGCAGCGGCCGACTCGAGTGACGATGACGTGCTAGAAGTGCCAGCCTCACCCCGAGCAGCAGCCGATGTCTGCAATCAACACCCACAGACAGGCGTCAGTTGTGCATGTGGTGGTTCTTCCCTCGCTTGCCTCACCGTGAACATGCCTGTCAGCCATCGCCGGGCACTGGACATGCCGGCGAAGCACTCGTCGGGTGAGGTAATCAAAGAACTCTATTCCACTCAGCCGATCGAGGGCCTTGTTGTGATGCTGCACACACAGACGAACCGACCAGTGAGGCGTCATAGGAACGAGGCGCGATTGCGGTGTCCCCTCTCTCCCCGCGCATCTTTCCTACGAACCGGATGGTCCCTGAGAAGTAGCCCGTACGCGGCCCGCTCCACTTTGGAGAGAGTGGTCGGTGGGACGGCCTCAAGCTTCTGGTACACACGACGAGCACGCTCCAGCTCCTCTCGACTTATAGGAACTATACTATCTACGTTACCCATCCTTCTGGCGAGGCGTTTGTGCGCCAATAGCGGTTTCAGGGAGCACCCTAGCTTTGCGTAGGGCGTTGTACACTGTGTGGGAGGTGCACAAAGAGCTGTCGTGATGCATCGATCAACACAGATGCCGCCGCCAATCTGTCTGACTCCCGGTGACCTGACGCAGTGAGGTGAGAGAGGACAAGGCCTGATGGCATCAGTAATGACAGTCTGTGTGATGTCTGTGTGTTTGTCGCAGATTTCCGACACTTTCAAGTGCCGTCCAGCAACAGAGCGACAGTCAAGGGCAGCCGAGTAGCCAACTGAGGTACGGCAAGCTAATGACAGGCCACTCGGAGGCTCACATATCGATGAGGCGCCACATTCACTGATATGATGTCCGTGCTGTGTCTGTTCGCAGGTGTGCAGATGTGACTATCTCTGCTGCTGCTTGTGAAGGAGCCGGTGACTCTATAGCTGACGAGCCATCTTCATCTGCCGCGTCGGCCGCTGCCAATGGTAACAGAGAGGCTGCAGGATGACACAATCATGCCGGCACACAGGTGATTGTGTGTGTGATTGTGTGTGTGATTGTGTTGTAGGTGCCAGCAGTGCATCGTCGCAGCAGCAGCCCCACCACCACCAGGACATCACTCTCAGAGACGTGTTGGGGGTCGCGACGCTGATGCCGAGGATCGCCCAACACGTGACGAGCTACTCACAGCTGGCCTACTTCCGCGTCATCGACACCGACCGCCATCATGGACGCACGCAAGACATACCTGTCTGTTTGTCTGTATGATGGACGATACTTTATTCAATGTGATTGATGACCTCGTGTGTGGGATGATTGGCCGGACATACGACACAGATCGTGCTTCTCTCGCTTGGCTCTGTCGTCCCTCTCTCTCTCTCTCTCTCTGCATCTTTAGTCAATTGGTTTACCAACAACTGGTGCAGGGTTGAGTCATTTGATTGGAAGGGCCACACACAATCCCTTCGTGCCGTCGGATTGATGGCTGGTGGATTGAGCTACTAGCATGGATGCCACCTTTGCTTCTCTGACTGCCATCTAAAAAGTGAGCGGCCTGCCAAGCTCGCAATTTGGGGCGATCGCGTTTCTCCCCTCGGTTCCATCATGATTCCTCCCGCGATGGAGATGCCAGGCCTCGCCAGCTTCATTAGCCGGGACGATGTCGCCGCCCTTCTGGAAGACCACAGAAACCGCACACTGTCCCAGCTGGGCTCCCTCGTGCCTCACAACGTCTGGCGCGACATTAAAACCTTCCGCAGCGACGAGAGCGACTACGACGACGATGAGGTGACCTGTCCTAGCGAGGGGGGACGGAAATGACCAGATGAAACCGTGTTTCGATGTGTTCTGCATGCAGGTGGAATTCGAGAGCCCCGGGATCCATCTCGTAAGCTCATGGGGGAAATGAGGAGACTGGCTGAGCCATCTGTCTGAATGTGTTGGTTGTTTTCAGTTGTACTCGTCGGGGTGGCACCCCCCCGTGTGCCACTTCAGGAACGACAAGGGCCGCTGGAGCGACGAGGAGTGCGTCGCGTTGGGCGGAGACATGTGGTATATCCACATCGATATCGAACAGCGGGTAAGTTAAGACACGGGAATATGGCTTGATGTGTGTTTTGTTTGGTGTATGCGATGCATGCAGGCTACCGACTCTAGTACCGAGTTGGTCGTGTGTGAAAAGAGTCACACGAATTGGGACAACAAGCCGGGTGGTGAAAACAGTGAGCGCTTGGGAGGGATAGTGCGGGCCTCTGTTGAAATCGATATCGTGCGTCTCTTCCTTTCTTTTGTCTTTTCAGGAAATTACAAGATCGACGAGAAGGGAGTGTACCTGTTGCGAGATGGACAGCTACGGAGACTCAAGCACTGGAGTAATGTCGGTGTTGTTGGTAAGAGAGCCGTAGAATGAACACATAAGAGGAATCTGTCGCAATCTGACCTCCCTTTCTTCCTCAGATCTACTGTATGGCATCGACCAGGCGGCGCGGCTTGCGAAAGGGACGCACATCATCTACTTCACCGGCTGGACCACACCACACATCCACTTCAACCAGCCCAAGGGCGGCTGGACAACATCTCCCGGCTTCCGGTGTGCGAAGTTTGGTGCCGACGGGGTATTCCATGCGGCCGTGCCGTCACACGTAAGCTGGACATCACACGGAGAGACATGCATCATTCGTCTGATAGATCGGCTTGATTTGCTTTCATTCAGGGCCTCGAGTTTGTCTTTAATGACGGAGAGGGCTGCTGGGACCATGCCTTTGGAGGTGGGATGAAGAATGAAGACGAACTTGAATACTTTCTTTCTTTCTTTCTCTGTTTGTGGGTGTCACGTCCTTCTTTTGCGTGTGCAGGCTGCAACTATGTCCTTCGCGAGCCGGGAATCTATTTCATCTTCGACGGGGCTGTCCTACGACCCGCCGATCTCCACCAGCGAGATTATCTGTTTCGGCTCGTGAGTCTTGGCGTAGATGATGCGTTGAAGAAGGCTTCAAGTACAGGACAATACATACATGTCCCAAGTTAGTCATCAGCTGGTCGTGTCTGTGTCGCTCTCACAGGCCCCACGTCAAAGAGGTCAAGCACCGAAGCAGTGTCTCCGAGCAGCGCCTCGTAAGCCGAGGTCGCTGCCTTATACCGATACCATTGATGGCGTCTCCCGCCCGTCCGTCTGTCTGTCTGTCTGTCTGGTGTTGGTGTATGTGGCTGCAGCACCAGGGCAAGCACTCAGTCGCCGAGCTTGCCGCCCACTTCACCACCAGCCTCGCCACCACAGTCGCCGGGTGCGCAGGTATCGATACAGTGCGGATTGGAGGCTGGATCCGATTTGTCTGTGTGTGTGGACGCTGGCAGGGTCCTCGCGTCTGCCCGCCGGTCTCGTCAATCTCAACAACACATGCTTCTTGAACGCATCACTGCAGGTAAGTACCTACGTATGTCTTTGTGAAGGAGTGTGTGTGTGTGTGTGTGTGTCGTTATGGTGTGCGTGTATGCAGTGCTTCGCCGGCATTCCCTCGTTTGCCAACGGTCTCCGGGACAAGTAAGTACGTGTGCACAATAGACAAAGAGATTGTGGGCGCGGCGCATGCCATGCACACTCAAACGGAGCTCATCGTGCGATCCCTCTGTGTGTGTAAAGGGTTACAACTAACTCGCCAAAGCTCACACGCAGCTTCGCCAAGGTCCTCAACGACCTAAGTCGAATTCCGCGGCCCCATCCGGCTTTCGAGTGCACGGGTACGTATACGCCCTCGCACACGCCGTGAATCACGCACACACACACACATACAGATGCGTCTGTCTGTCTGTCTGTCTGTGTGCAGGATTGCATGCCAAACTGCGCTCGGTCGCGCCTTATCTCTTCGACGCCAACCAACAAGGTATATCTAAAAGCGTGTGCACGTGAATATATGCGGAGAGAGACATGCAGTCAGTCAGTAAGCCATTGACGTCTGTCTCTCTGTCGGTCTGTTTGTCTGTCTGTCTGTCTGTTTGTGTGCAGATGCTCATGAGTGCGTCCGTGTGCTTCTCGACCAGCTGCACGAAGGCCTAAAGAAGGTGGGCATTGAATTGCACACACACACACACTGACTGTCTGTGCACGTGTGCGTGTGTCCACACAGGCCCTGGGTCCGCCTTGCCTGACGTGCCAAAGCGAGCTCGAGCGCGGCCTGCAGCAGGGCTTCGCCTCTGTGGAACAGGTTGGGTGCCCATCCATCGAGACACGACCAAACGCGCACATGTGTGTATACAAAGAGTAAGTACTGTGTGTACGCAATGCAGGCGGCACACACGTGGTGGATGTATTACCTCAACGGCGACAGCATGCATATGCGCACTCTCGTCAACGAGCTGTCCATGGGGCAGGTACGTATCTACAGGCTGACCTACCCACACACACCCAGGCACCCACCCATGTGTGTCTTTGTGTGTCTCTGTTTGTTTGTGCAGCTGCATTCGCGCGTCAAGTGCACGGTGTGTGGGAGATTCAGCGACACATTCGAGCCCTTTCTCGACCTCTCGCTGCCACTGGCACGGGTCGGTGGATGGGTGTCTGTCCACGAGTGAGCGTCTTCGTGTGTGGATTTGTTTTCCTGTTCCGTGTGTGTGTGTGTGTGTGTGTGTTCAGTCGTCGCAGACTGTGTCGCTCTTTTCGTGTGTGGAGAGCTACTTCGCGCAAGAGACGCTCGAAGGGAAAGAGGTAAACAGAGTACAAGTCTGTCTGTGTGTCTCGATCAACCAACCCGGCCGGTCATCAGGAGTGTTTTTGTGTGTCCTGCAAGGAAAAGAGGCGGGTGCGTTTAGAAGGCACTAATGAATGACACACACGATCGACTGACTGACGCACACATGACCTCGAACGTGTGTGTGCTGTGCTCCACACAGGCGACCAAGCAGCTGTCGGTCACTCATGCGCCGGAGATGCTCTTCTTGCACATCAAACGGTACCTCATACAATCTGCCTCCAGCCATCCATCCACGTGTGTGTGTGTAGATTCTCCTCGTCTCTGTCCAAAGTCCACACGCCGCTGGACTTCCCGATGCGACTCGAGAATGAGCTTGCCACAAGGTTAGTAGATCGGCCGGCCGAGGAAAGAACGAACGATCTGCACACACCACACCCAAACGACGTTGCGTACATGGGTCGGTGCAGGTTCTTCTGCGGCGCTGAATATGACCTTTTGGGGCTCGTGAGGCACATCGGTACTTCACTTACGCACACCGCATCCACGCCACATTTATGTCATGTCTGAGCATTGATTGTCCCACTTCATTCATTCGTGCAGGCCAGCACCAGGCAGGCCATTACATGGCCTACGTCCTCCGCGACGGGAGGGTATGTATGTCATTATGTGCACACACATGTGTCTCGGACGGAAATATCTATGTGCTGTGTGCGCAGTGGTATTGCTTTGACGACGATCGAGTCCATTTGGTGTCAACTGGTATGAGGCAAACATCGATTGCACAAATGTATGTGCGCATGGGTGGGTGCAGACGATGTGCGGCGGACTAAGGCCTACTGCCTACTCTACAAGAAGGCCACTCCGCCTTTTCTTCATTGTGAAGCCGGCCTGCCTGCCTGCTGCTGACGCTGTCTCTTCTGTGTCTACCCATCCAGCCATCTGTTGCTGCTGTCCGTGCTGCCTCCCTGCCTGCGGTGGCCTTGTTCTCGCCGGCAGCTAGTTTGCCTCTTCCGCCTCTGCCGTGATGCTCTTCGCCGTCACATCAACCAGCCGACACCCACACCAACGACCCACATCGCCGAGTGGCCTCAAGCCCTCCCAGCGACGACATCGCGGCCCTGCCTGCCTCGGGAGTCGTGAGGGCGTCGGGCGGGGAGGGTCGTTTGTCTGTTGATGAAGAGTGATCGATGACGTCACCTGTTGACGCAGGAGGTGCTCACCGGCTACGAGACGGGGGACGGTTTGAGGCCCAGGAGAGAGCGATGTGTCGGATATGCACACTTAAGCCAGAGACTGAGACAGACAGACAGACAGACAGATCGGCGATGGGTTTTTCCTCTCGACTGGTTGTTGCATATGGGCCCCTTTCTTAGAACCTTGGCGGCCTCCTGCTCATGTTCGGTGATGCACGGCGTGATTTCTGTGTGTGTCAGTCAATGGTACTTACTGATGCTGATGAGTCCATACATCAGTCAGATGCACATACACTAACACACAGCCTCCGCACCGCACACCATCGTCTCCGCACATCCACACCATCCATCGATAAGCCTTCTGTCTGTCAGTGCAGGCCTCAATCACATACAGAAGAGTCGTTTCTTTACAGCCGACCACACACAGGGAGGCGTAGCCATGTGCGCAATGGACTCTGAGATCTCTCTGTCTGTCTCTCTGTGTGTGTGTGACTGTGTGTTGTGGGTGACTTCTTGTGACTGCACCGACTCATATGCATCATGCTCATCAGTGTTTGTCGAGCCGCCCATGCACACCAAACCAATCCACTCAGCCAATTTCCATTTCGCCGATGAATTGTGGACTGTGCTTTTCATTGAGTTACTCATTCATGTGAGTGAGGCCATGCAGTCGGTGAGTCTTTCAAAAACGAGTACAACATCCACCCACCCATGGCACACACACGTCGTCCATTCAAATGCACCTCAGTCACCCTCCCCTTCCACCACTGCTCACACAGACAGACCCTCCCCACCCTCTAGGTTAACAACCCAGCCGCCCCTCAGACAGCAGCCGCCAACACCACTCACCACTCACCCCAACCTCCCCCTCTCGATAACGTCACGCTGGAGACCGAATGCCCGCGGCGGACGCGGCACAAATCGACTCAGGAGAGAGCTGAGCGATTGGTGCCGGCGCATCAGCAGCAGATGGCTCGGTCGTGTAGAGATAAATGCTGCCATCCGCCACCCACAGGTAGGCGGCGACGGTCTCGTTGCGTCGGAAGCCGCTCACTATCACACGACGATAGTCAGTCTGGTCAGCAGCATTCAGATTGCCTCCATCCCTGCGATAGTCCACAGCGATGCCGAGATCCTCTGTGATGGCCGATGTCAGCAGACGGCCATAACGAGGGTCACCACGGCCGATATCTGCATATAGCACTATCATCTCATTCACCCCCTCCTCGCAGCGCCACCGCCTTAGCACCATGTCCAGCAGATATGCCGAGGAAGAGGGGAAGAGCCAGTCGTCGACCCAGCGGATGGCGGGGTCGGTGCGCTTGTAGCCGTCAGCATAGCGATGGCCGCCCGGCAGATCACCAAAAGGCACCATACGAAACGACTCATTGCCAATCCAATAGGCCCCGTTGTCATCTGGCTGCAGCGCCAGGCTGGTCCCTTGGTATGTCAGCATGTGGCCGTGTAGTCGATAGATGGCCATGGCGTCGGGCAGCTGGTGAAAGGCCGTCCTGCTGGGAAGGTGGGCCATCAGCCACTGAGCCGACAGCACCAGGGGCAGCCCATTGGCAGGAGTGAGCCGATAGATGGCAGCCAGCCGGATGAACCACCCCATCAGACGCCACTCCTCGGTGCCCTGCTCCAGCACATAGGCCACCCGCAGCACATAGGTGAATGGGAGAGGGGCGGTGCGGTCGATGTCGATGAGGGCGGTGAGGGAGTGGCGGGCGAGGGAGCCGTCGATGCGCTCCACCAGCAGAGCGGCCGTGATGATGGACGTGCCGATGGTGCGGGAGGTGTTGCGGAGAGAGGCCACATCAGGCAGCTGCAGGCACGCCACCACACGCCCACGCCACACCTCCGAAGGCACCGAAGACGCCATCAATCAGTCACGACGAGTCAGTCAGCAGAGGCCGACGACAACCGATGGCCATCAGCGGCTGAGTGAAGCGATGGCTACATGAACGAACAGTCGTGGCTGCTGATGGGGGGGTGACGTACGAGAGATCTGCATGAACACAACACACGAAGATGCTGTTCAATTGATGATGGCTGCTGTTTATCGCATCCTTAGGCTTCTTCTGCCTCTCTGTCTGTCCTCTTACCCTCACCAAAATCGGCGAGGCCATGTTTAGGGTTTAGCCAGCTGGGCTTAGGGTTAAGGGTTTCTGCAGGGTTCAGGGTTGCCCTCCTCTTAACCTTCGGCGAGGAGAGGGAATGCGGGCGGTGACCGATGTGAGAGAATGTATTGAGAGATGTGTGTGTGTGAACGGCATCAGTCGAGTCCGCTAGCAGCTGCTATCACACGGACAGACTCATTGAATGCACGAACAACCAGACAGTCACGCACACGAAAAATACATCTGAGACTCTTTCTCACTCATCCGCCTCCACTCACACATACGCACCCAGACAGTCCCCGTGCATATGTTCCATGAATGAATGGGATGACTGTCTAGCCATTTCAGTCTATGAATGCGATCATGAACTTCACCCAACCATCACAGTCATACCCCCTCACCACACACACATATCTGCCCCCTCCCTCCACCCCCTCACTCTATCACCGTCCCTCTGTTGATGACGTACTCCGCCAGCTCGAAGTGCCTCAGCACGGCATCCCAGCGGGGCATCGATGTGGGGAAGCGGTCAAACAGCGGATGAGACCGATGTGTAGCAGATGATGCCTCGGTCGTCCACAGTTCGACGCGGCCATTTCCCACCCACAGATAGGCAGCGATGGTCTCACCTGGCCGAAAGCCGCTTACAACCACATGACGTTGGCCGTGGCGACCGTTTTCCTGCCGGTAGTCCACACTGATGCCCTGCTGCTGGCTGATGGGCTCAGTCAGCAGACGGCGATAGCGGGGGTCAAAGTTGGCGATGGTTGTATACAGCACCATCCTTTGGTCCACCCCCTCCTCATAGCACCAGCACCAGAGCAGCCTGTCAAGAAGGAATGACGAGAAGGATACGGAGAGAGACCTGTTGGCGGATGACGGGATCCGCCGTCTTGTACCCGCTGCGATAGCGATGGCCGGCCGGCAGCTCACTTTTCGGCACCACACGGAACGACTCATCGCCGATCCGATAGGCACCGTGGTTGTCGGCTTGCTGCAGCGCCAGCCTCTGTCCCTTGTGGGTGAGCATATGGCGATGGCGGAGAGAGAAGGTCTTGTAGATGGCCAATGCCAATGGCAGCTGCTGGAAGGCTGTTGGGGAGGGCAGTCTGTCCGCCGACAGCCGCAGGGGCAGAGTGGCACGGGGAGTGAGCCGATAGACGGCGGCCAGCCGAATGAACCGCCCCATCGCCTGCCACTCGTCGCCACTGCCCCGCTCCAGCACATGCACCACCTTCAAGCTGTCCTCCAGACCACCGACGTCGAAGACCAGGACGTCCCCGAGCCCCAGACGGCCGATGGCCTCCTCTATGCGCTGCTCGACGAGTGTGAGCATGGTGCTGTCCTCAGCCTGCGGCAATCTGTCAATGCACTGACGGAGTTTGGCGCGTCTGTCGGGGTGGGGTGACATGGCCATGTCTGCCGCCTTGCTGATGGCGATGCTGCGCAGTGGCGGGACTGCCGGAGGCGCGGCGGGAGGCTGGGGAGTGGTTGTTGGCATCTGATGCGACGACGACGCCATCGTCGAGTGAGAGATCTGAATGAATCAAAGAGGAAGGACACACAAACGAGTGAATGGCAATCAGTCAGTCAGAGGAGAGCCATGGGAGGGCGGGATGCGCTGCTGACCTCAGACAGACACTGTCACAGCAGAGAGGCGGGGGAAGTGAGCCGCGGTGAATGAGTGACTCTGCAGACACACAGAGCAAGCGTGGCCCATCACGAACGTCGTGGCTGTCATGAGGCGTGACGAACGAGAGATTCTGCAGCAACACAACGCACAAAGAAACCGCTGTTTGAAGCATTTTTTGGCTTCTCCTGCCTCTCTGACTGTCACCCTACCCTCCAGTGAGTGGCTTCGGGGGCTCCCTTCGCCGAGAGAGCGGTTTCACGGAATGTCCCTGCGAGCTTGGACTGTAGGCAGCAAGGCCCCCTCTCTCTCCGTGTTTTGCGACAGCGGGGCGTTGCAGAGTCTGTGGGAGATGCCCAAAGAGATGTCGTGATGTCATCGATCCACAGAGATGGCGCCGCCCATCTGTCTGAGTGCTGTTGATCTGACGCATTGAGGTGAGATAGGGCGGGCAGGAGGGCCTACTGGCATCAGCAGTGACAGTGTGTGTGATGTCTGTGTGTTTGTCGCAGATTTCCGACACTTTCAAGTGCCGTTCAGCCGTTTCCTTCCCCGGCATGTTCAACGCCTGGCGATGGCTGACAGGGCTGCAGCTGTCGAGGAGCCAACGGAGGTACGGCAAGCGAAAAACAAGCCCCTCGGCGGCTCACATATCGATGAGGCGCCATTCATCGCATTCACTCGTATGATGTTCATCCTGTGTTTGTTCGCAGGTGCGCAGATGTGACTATCTCTGCTGCTGCTTGTGAAGGAGCCGGTGACTCTATAGCTGACGAGCCATCTTCATCTGCCGCGTCGGCCGCTGCCAATGGTAACCAGCCCCTTTAGTGCAAAATGACACAGTCATGCACACACACAGCTCTCTCTCTCTCTCTCTGAGTGTAGTGGTCAAAGAAACCCCTTCGGTTCCGTTGCGAACGCAGCCCGACAGGAACTTCATCATGGGTTGCTTGCTCATCATCTTCTCCCTCACGAGTTCGTCCGCCGCCGTTGTCAGGGGGGTGCATTCGTTTGTGCCTCCCTTTGGTCACCAGACCGCACTGACGTCGCGCCGGGCGCTTCGGACAGCGGCAAAAAAGGTTCGCCAGCAGGTCAAGGGCTGCATCGCACACGGAGATCTTTGTGACTTCTCTCTTTCCCATCAGAGTGATGGTGGTCCCGTGGCGGTGCCTGAGAGACCTGGCACACGAGATTGGTGGAAAAGAGAAGCGGTGGCGGCAAGTGTGCTGCCGGCGACGGTGACATCAGCAGCTGTGCCGTCGAAGCAGCCACAGCCAGATGGTGTGCCGCCGGGTGAGATCACTTACGTACTGCACTGCACTGCATGAAATGAAACGGGGTCCGTGCCACGCAGATATATATTACATCCGTGTGCTGTGCTGTATCCATGCGTGGGTGTCGGTGGCTTCAGGCACTCCCGCTGGTGCTGTGTATGGGCGTGGTGCTGAAGAAGTCCGGCAGCACCTCCCACCGCTGCCCAGGATCAAACTCCCTGACGAATTAGTCAACAGGCAATGGATGGCTGGCAGGATCGGCGGAGAGTACGTCACAGACCAACACACGCAGGCAGATGGACATGGGAGGGAGAGACAGCCAGGCCAGCATCATTGTCTTTCCGCCTCGTGGTTTCTCTGTGCTGTGTGTGCTGCGTGGTTTGTCTGTCTAATTATGTGCAGCTTCTTGCAGGCAGACCTGAAGCAGCGGAATCTGCTGACGGTGTGTTACTATGTGTGGCCGCTGTTCGAGCAGATGCAGCTCCAGACCGACTGGCGTGTTCGGGCCAGGCCATATGACCAAGACAATGACGCCATCTCAGTGTCCTTTTTGATTGAGAAGGACACGAACGCCCCAGAACTGATAGATGAATACCCGAGGAAGGTGTGGGTGCTGGTCGGCATTGACCGGGACGCGAAGCCGGAGGATGCCCTCAAGTTGCGCCTCGAGAAAGAGGTTGGTCGCGCCATTGGTCGCGCCACGCCAGAGGGGTGAGGTCTTGTTCTATGCATTTGTGTGTGTGTGTGTGTGTGTGTGTGAGCAGGCTTTGAGATACGGCTGCATAGTGGACACCTTACGTCGCTGCCACTTCTACAAATACGACGAGAAGGCCGGCGCACTGGTGCACGGCGAGACGCTTGGACTGGCAAAGCAGTCGCAGGCGATAGTGGACTCCATTGTGGAGCTGCTTCATCGACATGACACAACACTGCCGTTCCAGAAGTGGGACGACGCCTTGTATCTGTTCCTAGGTATGTATCCAGGCACACACTCACACACGCGCACATACACACAGGAGTGCAGCACACATTGGGCTCTTCTGCTGGTGTCAATCCATTCCTGCGCAGATGAGGACGGTGAAGAGGCGTGAATGTGATGGTCTGTGACTTTTTGTTGCGGTTAAGGAGGGCTTCTTGCGTGTGAGGCGGCTGTCAATTGATATGGGATCGCCAGCAGTCAGGCAGACGCACAAGCCCTGTGTACATAGGTCTTGAATCTCTTGGTGGTCAAGTTGTTGACGAATTAGACGCTGGTATGAGGCAAACCTCGATTGCACATTTGTATGTGCGTGTGTGTGTATGTGTGGGTCCAATGAATGCAGCCGAGGTGCAGCGGACTGAGGCGTACTGCCTCCTCTACAAGAAGGCCGGCAGACTCACGGACGCACCCACTGGAGTGACTGACTGACTTCATCGCTCCGCCGTTTCTTCATCGTGAGGCCGGCCGGCCTGCCTGCCTGCTGCTGACGCTGTCTCTTCTGTGTCTATCTGTCCAGCCATCTGTTGCTGCTGTCCGTGCTGCCTGCCTGCCTGCGGTGGCCTTGTTCTCGCCGGCAGCTAGTTTGCCTCTTCCGCCTCTGCCGTGGTGCTCTTCGCCGTCACATCAACCAGCCGACACGCACACCAACGACCCACATCGCCGAGTGGCCTCAAGCCCTCCCAGCGACGACATCGCGGCCCTGCCTGCCTCGGGAGTCGTGAGGGCGTCGGGCGGGGAGGGTCCTTTGTCTGTTGATGAAGAGTGATCGATGACGTGACCTGTTGACGCAGGAGGTGCTCACCGGCTACGAGACGGGGGACGGTTTGAGGCCCAGGAGAGAGCGATGTGTCGGATGCACACCATTATTATCTAAGAGTGACAGATAGACAGACAGATCGGCGATGGGTTTTTCCTCTCGACTGGTTGTTGCGTATGGGCCTTTCTTAGAACCTTGGCGGCCTCCTGCTCATGTCTGGCGATGCACGGCGTGATGTGTGTGTGTGTGTGTGTGTGTGGTGACTTCCTTTTAACGCATCAAGTCATGTGCATCATGTTCGTCAGCGTGTCGAGCCGCCCGGCACACCAAACCAAACCACACCACTGGAGCGAGTTTCAGTTTGCCGCTGAATTGTGCTTTTCGCTCACTCGTTCATGTGAGAGAAGCCATTCAGTCATCGAGTCTGACAGAAACGATTACAACATCCAGCCATGGCACACACACATTACAATAGGTCATCGCTGACACCCAAAGCGAATCCAAAACAGCATGAGTCATGATGTGATGTGATCTCCACACCCAGAGAGGCACACAGGAGGACGCTATCGTATCCAAGTAGAGTACATTGCCCCTCAAGGCTAGTTTACGATTTGGCTGGGATTCTCTCGGCGAGCATGACGTATAGCGCAGCATTGACAACGCTCTGTAGCCTTCTCAGCTTCTGCAAGTGACGCAATGGCTCGCTGCAAGTGTCGGAGAGTCGCGAGAGACGAGACAGATGCAATCCCTCGCATCAGAAGTCCTGCATGGCATCCCTGTTCTATCGGCCCATCGCTGTTCGGCACCGACTTCCAGGCTGTTCGGCACCGACTTCCAGGTGCGCGCCCCCCACCGAATTCACCGGTATGTTGCCAAGACGCATCGACCAATGACGGCGTGTCCTGTGACTGTGTGTGTGTGTGTGTGTGTGTGTGTGTCAGGTGGCCAACCAGCAGAACAATGACAACGTAGAGCGCCGTATGCAAGATGCCTGGGACGGCGTGCTGTACCGCGCCGACATAATCCCAACCCAGGAGGCTCACAAGCTGCAGTTCCACGAGGGGGACAAGCCCGATGAGACCAACCCACAGGACGCCCTCTTGATTCAGGCCTCGACCTACTCCAAGCGGTACCAAGATCATTCACTGACGGTGACGACGTGCAGAGCATCAGCGGTATCAGCGGCCAGCTCGAAGTTGCTGATGGCCAGTGGGAATTCAGCCAAGTGCCGCGGGGCAAAGGAGCGAAGGCACTGGGGTCTGGATGGAGGTTTGATAAGCCGGGCGTGAAGAGGGTGTTGGGCCGTCCATCGCGGGTGTGTGGAGGCTCAGTCTCCAAGGCCGCTCTGTCGCAATAATCGCTGGCCCGGCCATTCTCCCTACACCCACCTGCAACGGTACCTGCAACCCCGCGACTCCTGTCCGGCTACACATCTGGGAACACCTGTTCGAGTTGAATCAGGATATGCGACTTGCCTTCTTCTATACCCTCAACAGTACTCATGGCTGCACGCACCATGCATGTTGCGTATTCGGTACACCATGGGCACCAACCTGTCGGTCGCTGACGCTGACCTGCTCTCCACCCCCTGCTCTCCAGATCGGACCTCCAGGCTGGCACAACTTTGGGACGACTTGCTACGTCAATGCGGGTCTGCAGGTACCCTTTGACACCTGTCAGGGGAGGGAGGAATGGTGGGGGAGGGGCAGGTCAGGGAAAAGCACGACTCAGCTCCTCCGTGTGTGTGTGGGTCACTGGGTGTGTTTCTCCACTCAGATTATTCTCATGACGCCTGACGCTGTGCGCTTCATACACATACAGTGACCTTTACAATAACCCCCCACCCGACGAGGCGCTTTGCTCCTGGATGTGTGTCTTTCTCTTTTTTGTGTTTTCCCACAGGATGATCTCCATTGACATGGGTGTTACCGATTGTGTCAAGGGAGAGAACTCTATCACGGTCAATGCGCCGTGCAAGTTGTGCCACAACCCGAAGCACGGCCAGCAAGCGTCTCAGTACGCCAATACCACCGCGTTTCTGCGGGTAGGCGAGAGTCGTTTGGACCCTGAGCGTTGGTGAATGGTCGAGTTGCCTCGCGACTTCACGGGTGGCGTGCCGGTTGTGTTTTCGCTATGTGGCCTTCGTGATGATGACGGTATGTTGAACTGACGGGAGCTACGGAAGAAGATGACTGACCGACAGTTCTGTCACGAGCTGGAGCAGTGGCTGGACTAATACCATCCTCGCACTTCGCACTTCACAACCGGTGTATGCTGCAGCAGGTAAACCACCGACCAAAGCAGCTTCACTCACATACAGAGCAGCATGATACCTGAAGGCACGCATGCATGTGTGCGTGTGCGTATGCCAGATGCGGGTTGCGTGGGCATGCTCAAGAACTGCTCGGAAATCGAGAGGAAGGGGGGAGCCGAGCCGGCTGGCGCGAATTTTCTGGAGCAGACGAAAGCCATGCTCAGAGCAGCAGCCCGTTTGAGTGGCGACCAGAAAATCTCCACAGCAGTACCGACGACTCTAAACGAGATAGCCAACAACATCGCAGGCTACACGGCACCGACGGCACCTGCCGAAGTTACTCACGAACTCTTCACCATAGACGGTCGAATGGACGCCGAGAAAGTCAAGACGTATGTGCGAGCCATGCTCGGAGGGCCAAGGACCATCGCCAGCGCGAACAGGCTCAGGAAGATAGTGGACGAGGTAGAGATGGAGTTGGACTCTTGAAAAGACGCCCCTCCGAAAGAGGCTAGTGCTTCTGAGGAGGGCGCCCCTCCGAAAGAGGCTAGTGCTTCTGAGGAGGACGCCTCTCCGAAAGAGGCTGGTGCTTCTGAGGGAGGGGAACCAGCTCAATTTCGACGACTTTGAAGCCGTGTGGCGCGAGTACGAGAGAACCCCATCCGACGAGGCACCTAGAGGTAAACGGCTAGCAGGTGGCAAGCCAAATCACCCCAATCAGACTAGGGAGCTGACTTAGGGGAGTACTATTAACAAGTCAGTCAGACACACACAGTCAGAGTGACGAACAGCCAGGTCATCGCTGACACCTAAAGCGAATCCAAAAGCATGAGTCATGATGTGATGTGATATGATTCCGGAGGAACACGGGCCGAGCCCGAGTACGAGCCAGAGTGAGCGGACGAGACCACAGAGCAACAGCAGGTCGACGACGGGACCGACCTCAGGTACGTACGACCGAGCAACACGAGTCAAGCCAGCCAGTCAGCAGCCAGCCAGGCACAACTAGAGAGAGTCACGAAGTGAAGAGACATGTCGCTGACTATACACCCGTGCGTCTTGTGCATGTGTGTCAATGGCTGTGACTTGACAGGCAACGGACAAGAACGGGATCCGTCGCCGCCCCAGAAGGCGCCGTCCGACCGAACCCATAATGAAAGCATTGTCGGAGCACATGTTTTCCTGTTATCTCGCCGAGGCATCCTGCTACAAACAGACATCCGTCCTAGTAGATTTTATTATAGCTTATCGTCATACACTTCATGCAGACCTCTTTACATCTTCATGTTTTTCATGTCTCATTGCTGATTCAATGCCCTCTCGCCCATGAAACACACTGAAAAGCAATCATTCAAAAGATGACGATAGCCAAAATATAGTCTGTCGTTCTCCTAGTCATCACATCATATCTATCGACATATGCATATATGAATGCAGCCATCACACCATGCAATCGATAGATACACCACCCAGGTCATCTCCCTCTGCCCCGCCTCAGCGGATCGAGTGTCTCATCAAGCGTCTGCTCGCACAGCCGCAAATGCGACGGCAGGTCGGCAAGAGGGCCGCTCATCAGCCGCTTATCGTCCTTCAGACTTGTCAACACAGCCTGAATACACACACACACACACACACACAGAGAGAGAGAGAGAGAGAGACGCCAAACGACATTTTTGCCATCTCCATCCCTCTACCGACCTGTATTCGCCATAGCTCTGTAGTGGCCGATGCACGCAGCTCCTGGATAGGCAGAAGGCCGTCAGCGAGAGCACCCATCAGCTCGATCCAGAATATCTGCAGACTCCATCGTTGAGGCGACCGCACTGCGCGAAAGGCTAGCGGCTCGCGGCCAACGCTCGCTGCACCACCACGGGAAGGGAACTCGGGCCACAAAGACGATCCAAGCTGCCACACACATGGAAGGTACACATATGCTGGGCTTGTCGGTCTGTCAACATGTACTGTGTACCTCTTTCACAAGTCTGCTTGTCGTGAAAGGACTTTCCCGATCGTTGCCGCCTCTCCCTCTCAGCTCTCGCCTCTCGTCGGTCGTCATGTAGTCGGCAGAGAACGTCTCATTGCCGCCCGTATGCGTCACCATCGGCTGCTCGTCTGGCTGCTCGAGTGTGCCCGGCTGAATGGTTGCTGGGGGAGGGGCCGTGGCCAAGGGTGGCGACGATGCCCGAGAGCCACTGCCATAGTCGGCAGAGAGCCAGGAGAGTGTCCGCAGGCGGACCAGGCGACGGGGAAGGAAGATGAATAGCAGCAGCAGCTTCTGCAGCGCTGGACGATCGATCAGCCAACAAATCACAAACACACATATACAGACATGAATGAGCAGCAGACGGATAGACTGTATGCCTGTCTGCCTGCCTGTGTGTCTGTCTGTCCGTGTGGGTGGTGGATCGGTCGCATACAGTCGATTGATGCGAGGATGTCCAGCGGTTCTCTGCCCATGCAGAAGCGGGTGGGGCCGCTGCACACGCCCACACGACGCACCTGACAGACACATTGATTGACACCAACACCAAAACACACATGACATGGGCACCGAAACGCGTGTGTTGTGTGCGGCTGTGGTCGCTATGCATTCATCGTACCAGATACTGCACCGATTCGGGTGAGGGGTACAGCGACGACCCCCGGCCATCCACACCGCTTTTCCTTTTCCCCCGGCTCCCCTTGCCGCGACGATCGTCACGCGCAGGCACACCTGTCAATATCTGACTACACACACACATGTGTGTATTGGTTTCCTTCCCCAGGTGCAGTGCACTCTCTGTCGGTCAGATGTGTATACGAACCTCGGTGATGGCTTCCAGGGCCTCCTGCTGCCTGTTGCCGTCCACAGCTAATGCGGGCGGGGCCATGGCGGCTGTTGCCTCTGCCATCATCTCGTTTGCCTGTGTTGGTGTTGGTTTGGGATCCTTGGTCAGCACCACACCACCGAGGAACTTGGAGAGATACATGCCAGCCGTCATCACCTTCACACATACACACAGACATCCACACAGACATCCATTCGTGTGTGTGTGTGTGTGTGTGCTTGGTGAGGTGGGTGGGTGTACTCTGCCGAGGATGGTCATTTCTGCCTCTGCGAGGCGCGACATATCCTCCCCTGGCAGCACGGAACTCTCCAGCAGCACCGAACGGATGTTCTGCGGTAGGTATAGTGAGTGAGTGCACTCACTTCACTCGCCCCTCGATGGATGCGTGTTTGTCACACGTGTGTGTTGGTGTTGGTTCTCCGTACCTTGACGTACTCGAGCTCGTTCAAGTAGAACTGAGCAAGGCGCATGCACACAAACAGATGCGAAGGATAGATGCACACGTATGATCCTCTGTATCCTCTGCGGACAGACACCTGCAGCGGGTTGCTGAGATCTCGCTGCAGCCAACCAACCAAAGCAAGCAAGTGCACACCACAGAATGCTATGCAAACACACACAGACAGCCACACACGACGCTCACCACGTTGTTGTATGGGTCCGTTCCGCTGGCGTCGGGGTCGTCCTCGTCAGTGGCGAACGCCATCGGTTCAGAGGACAGCAGCGAGAGGGACGAGGGGTGCGGCACACCCGACACCTACAGGCAGGGCAGACAAACGTCACCATCACACAACACACACATGTCTGTCTGTGTCTGTCGTGATGGCTGACCTCATCCTCCAGCCGTCGGTAGCCGAATCTACGCGATGCACACCACACACGTGCGAAGGATTATTACGTGTGTGTTGATTGTGTAGTATATATCCGGCTGACCGTATTGCGAGTTTGTCGTAGTCTCCGATAGTGGGGCTGAAGTAGAGTGCGTCGTCGGCCACCCCGGCAGCCATGTTGACCGCAGTGTAATCCATCACACTGCTGCCCAACCTGCACACACACACACACACACACACGCGTGGATGCGTCGTGGGGTGTGGGGCCTGCAGGCCACCGACGAACTTGCCCGTGTTTGCAGATGTATGTGGCGTTGGTGAGCTGCTCCCACGGGATGGTGGTGGACGCCCTGACGCAACACACCGCCCGCACAGAGGCAGGCAGACACGCAGAGGGGGAGGGAGGAACATACACACAGGGGGGCAGTTTATTTGTTTGTGTGTCTGGCCGGAATGTCGTCATTCACTCATTCACTAGTCACTTGAAGTTGTGCCGCAGCCCCAGTGTGTGGCCGACCTGTCGGTTCACACCCGCAGCATTCGATTCGTGTGTGTCGGTAAGTACTGGTTGGATGCCATCCATCCATCCATCCACTCACTGAGTCGCTTACTTCGTGTGTGACGACGTCTTCCAGCCCGGCCTCCAATATTCGCTCATACCAACTCCAGCTGCCACTCGGCCATCCGGCACCATCGACACCATCATCAGTCGTCGAGTTGCCGCCTGCATTGCGTTGATAGCATTGCAGTCAGCCGACACATACACACAGGCTTGGAAGCCGCTTGGCTCTGTCTGTACCTTGGAGGGTGCGTTGATCATTTGGCATCCACGCGTGTGACGACGTGGCCGCATCCCTCACGACATTGGTCACGTTGCCGCCTGCCATGCCACCATCAATCACATGCACACGCACACACAACACGTACTGATGGGTCCCATAAGTGGGAGGGTATGTGTGTGGGTGTCTGACTGACTCTTTCTCTGCAGCTGTCTTCTGCTCTCTTCGTCCTTCATGTGTTGGTGGTACATCAGCTTCAGCGCCACAAAGGAGCCGTCACGCGCCTCGTGCGCCATGCGCTCGTGCAGTCCGGGGACAGCTACACACACACACACCCACCCACCCGCCCACACACCACCATTGGTGCGCCCACGCCTCTCTCTCTCTGTGTGGCACCGTGTTTTGTGTATCTCGTTCCCCGTGCGTCGGTGTTCTCGGTGTTAGAGTGGGCGCGCAGAAAGCCCTCGATGAGCTCCCTGTCGGTCAGCTGGGCGTTGGACAGCAGACCCCTCAGCGCGTCGCTGTCGGCATTTGGCATTGAGGAAATGAAATGCTCGACGATAGACGACGACTGCTGGCGGTCATCACCTGGCGGATGGACGTTCGGAAGAAAGAGCATCATATGTGTGTGTGTTTCGGGGAGGGGAGGGGGAGGGGGGGGAGGGGTGAGCCGACCTTCTTCTTCTTGTGTGTAGATCTGAGGGTATCTTCGCTCGAACTGGTTGATGAATGACTTGATCCACCCCTCGGTGAAGAAAATGTCGCTCTTGAGGATCTCACCACTGCGTGGGTCTATCACCGATGGACCTGCACAATGGCCACACCACCTCTCTCTCTCTCTCTCTCTGTGTGTGTGTGTGTGTGTGTGTGTGCGTATATATGTGTACCGATTGCGAATATGCGGTCGAGTGCCGCTCCCCAGGTGATGGTGTTGTACCGCATGTCGCCCACACTGTAGTCTGCCGGCCACCGTGCGTCGCCTGCTCCAACACACACACACACGCGCATCCATCCATCCATCGCGCATCTGCACATCTGCAGAACATTGGTCACTCACTGACCAGGTGCGACGGCTCTGATAGTGTGGGTCATATCCCAGGAGCTTGAAGGCCTGGTTCCACTTCTCGACGCCACGACACATGGCGGGCCGCCACCGGACAGGCACTGAGGGGTCTGAAGGAAGAACGCGTCAGACACGGACGCCGGAAATCGTCTATGTGTGTGTGTGTACCAATGAAGTAGAGCAGTGGGTATGAGACGTTTCTCTGGCTGTCTGCCGGCAGGAGACGGCGGCGTTGGATTACTGTCACCTGCCGCCGTACAAACAGACATACAAATGTGTGTGTGTGTGTGTGTGCGTGTGTGTGTCAATGCTCACACCTCTCTGTCGACATATTCCGACAGCCGTTTGGTCCTGACGCAGTTGATGCGGCTGCTCGTGGCATTGTTGCTGGTGGCATACTCATAGTAGCCCTCGCCATGCCTGGTGACAGACACCCAACACACACACACACACGACCACAGTGAGTGCACCGACCCGCCATGAGCAGTGAGTGGTCTCTGACCTACTGTCTTACCCGTACCAACAGCCGGCCCATCGTGTGTTGCTGTTGTTGCTATTCGCTTCGCTCATCCCTTCCCACATTGGCCGGTGGTAGCCGACGTCGTAGTAGGTGCTGGTGAAGTATCCCACCTGCACACACACACAGACATACACACACACGCACCGACGGAGGCTCGATGGTGGACGCTTGGCTTAAAGGCTTACCCTGTCGTCGGCCACCCTCCCTGGCAGCAGTGGGTATGGAAGCAAAGAGACTGTGTATGTTATGGAGAGGGGATCTGCTCACACAGATGGATGGATGGATGGATGGGCGAGCAATCGGTCAGTGCGTGTGTGTGTCGGCTGTGGGTGTGCTGACATCTGTTGTCCCGTTCCTGCATGAGGTGGTGGACGGTGGTGGCGAAGTTGATGTGGTACGCTCGCGTGTCGTTCATGTCTACCTTCACGCCTATCACACACCCACACACGCACACACCATGGAGCAAAGAATCATCTTGGTAGGTATCCGCCTTGGCTGACTGCTGACGTACCTACGACCTCTCTCGGCTTCACGGACGACTGAAAGAACCCATTCGCCGTCAATCCCTGTCCAAACAAACACACACACTCTCACACCGCACTCTCATGCCTGACATACACTCTCCATGTGCCTCTGATCAACTCACGCACCCACCCACCCACCCAGGCGTCCACCAGCACCACATCCGCTTTGGCATACGGCTGTGGGGCGCCCTTCTGCTGCTGCTGCTGCTGCTGTGTGTGGGTGTGGGTGTGCGTGTGGGGGCCGTAGGGCTGACCTCGAGCCAATATCGGCAGATCCACCAGCCACCCTGCGAGGAATGGGAGAAGGTGGAATGGATGGATACACGAGTGGGTCAGTGCCGTGCATGCCTTGCCTGTCCATAGAGCCTTCTTGACGGTGTACACCGATTGTGGGTCAGATGTGCGCATCTCCAGCGGCACACGACGCACCTCCACAGCTGAAGGAATGGACCAATGAACCACTGGACCACTACATGTGCCCATTGACTCACCGGTGTCATCGGCAGTGAGTCTGAACTCGAGAACGATGTCGCTGCCATAGCTGGCCGGGTAGTGCGAGTACGGGCCGCGGGCAAACACACTCGTCACCAACACCTACACCCACACCCACACAGACACATACTTGCCACACATGAGGCACCGGATGGATGGATGGATGTATGTGTGTGCGTGTGTGGGTGTGTGGGTGAGTGTGCCTTGCCTGTGCGGTGGGGTCTTTGAGGAAGGGCAAAGGGAACTGCAGCAGCAGACGGTGCGCACGCCTGGGGTCAACTGCATTCAGCCGTCCATGACACGCCCACCACACACACATGGGCAGACTCGTCTCTCTCTCTCTCCCCCCCCCCCCTCTCTCTCTCTGTGCGTGTCTGTCTGTCTAGCGTCTCACGGTATAGAGTGGCGAATGCGGTCTTGTAGGGCCTGAGGTGCCGCACCCAGCGGGCCACGCTGTCATGGGCATCCTCACGGTCCCGACCCTCGAACCCCCAATTCTACAAACAGATAACAACAGCACACACACATCCAACACACACTGCACTGTGATGCCTGCCTGCCTGCCTCTCTGTCTGTCTGTCTGTCTGTCTGTCATTCATCGACCGGCCGCACACACACACCCATTACCAAGAGCATCGCCACAAAGGCCACGATGACCACCGCAATCGACACCTTCCCCAGCCTCGTCCGCAGCCAGCCCCAGCGCCCCTCAACGCCTCCCCGTGTCCGGCCGTCTCTCACATCTCTCGCAGCACCGTCCGCACCGTCCCGCGCCGATGCGGAAGGATCTTCCACTTCAAACTGCTGCATGACCTGACTGACCTTGTGTGGCTGGTCCTGAAGCACGGAAGGACGGCTGATGGCTGGCAGATGAGGGATGACCGATGAGTCAGCTGGAGCAGGGGATGCTGGGCTGGATGCTGGGATGATCACGAGCGATGAATGCACTGATTCCTGGGTAATAGGCGCCGATTTCACACCATCAAAAGGGGGAAATCTGCGAGCTTAGCGAGCGCGAGCTTCTACGACGAAGAAGGTGAAAAACATGTTTTGGAGCGTGCTGTACGGTGTGCTGTCATCGCAGCATGAAGCATCTGCCGCCACCGGCCCAGATCGGCCGCATCTGCAGTCGTCCATCCCCGCATGGCCGCATCTGGTTCGCCACAGGCTGAAGAAGAGACCGTGGCGGGGGAGGGGAGCCGTGACGAGAAGCAATGCCGGTAGCGGCAGCTGCAACAGCACGGTGAGCTGGGAGATGGGATGCGTGTGCATGAATGGATATATGGCAGCTCTGTCCATCACGGGATGGTGTGTGTGTGTGTGTGTGGACGACTGGATTGCAGGTGTCGGCGTTCGCGTTTCCTCCCGCTTTGCGCCAGCTGCGCGTGCTCGAGCTCAAGTGCTGCAGGATCACAAACACCGGCGCGCTGCTACAACTACTGTCAGTGCACAGCATGCCAGACTCACACCTGTCCACGCCTGCCTGCGATGGTGTCTGTTGTCAGGCCTCCGTTGCCGGTCAGTCGGCTGCACGCGGCGCCGACTGGCTTAGATGTGGGTGTGGGTGTGGATGGGGGTGTCGGGGGGGAGGGTGGCGAGATTGGTATGATGGATGACATAGAGGATCTTGGGCTGTTTGAGGGAGATGACGTGGCCGACGACGACAGGAGAGAGAAGCCAAAACAGGTCAGTGAGTGAAGGGCAGATGGGATGGGATGCAATGGGGCCTCTGTTTGCAAGCACGGTGTGTGTGCACATGTGTGTGTGGCTTGATTGCAGCCACCCAGGAGGCGAGAGATATCCAGGTGAGCCGTCAGATTCCCGGTAACTCCACAGACGCATCAGTGCCTTCTTGCTCTCATGCATACCACACCACGCCACACAGGGACAGTGAGGGTGTGCCCGACAGCCGACTGGTGGCGTCCAGGCAGGTCCGCGGCGACATGAAGACCAGATACAAACTGCTCAAGATGCCACCACCACTCAAAGGTCACTCCCTCACCCCACGCCCCCAACACACACACACACACACACACACACAGCCATGCTTTTGTTTTGCGACTGCATATGCAGAGTCTGGTGGTTCCCCTCGGCGGACTCAGGGCCGTGTGCAGGCGGGGACCAACAACCCGTCGATGCTGCGGGTGGGTGGGGGCGTCATGAAGGGGCGGAAACTCACATCCCCGCCTGTCTACCTGCGGCCCATGATGGCAAAGGTGAGCCGACCCATGAGGAGAGCTCTGGCCTGGTGGATCTCTCTGCGATCTGCGTGTGTAGGTGCGGGAGGCGGTGTTCAACATGCTGACGCAGTTTGGTGTCTTCGATCAAGAGGAGCCCATCACGTGAGGGAGGGAGGGAGAGAGAGAAAATCGGAAGCCACGCATATGTTCGTGGGTGTCTGTCCGTGGGTGTCTGTCCGTGGGCGTGATCAGTTTTCTGGATCTGTACAGCGGCACGGGTGCGGTTGGCATCGAGGCGCTCTCACGGGGAGCGGCCTCGGGCACCTTCGTTGACCTTTCCAAGGAATGCTGCCAGGTAGGTCAGTGAGTGACACACAGAGAAAAGGATGGATGCCTGGGTGAGTGGTGGGTGACACGTGTGGTGCATCTTCCTTTCTCCCTCTCTCTTTCCTTCTCATCAGTCGGTGGTGCACAACCTGCGCCAGTGCAACTTTCAGCCACAGGGCCGCGTCATACGTGCAGACGTGGAGGTCAGCATTGGAACGTCAGACACCTACACACGCACTGTGTGTAATCTCTCTCTCTCTCTCTGTGTGTGTGTGTGGTGTCAACAGGAGACGCTCCGCTACCCGGGTCGGTTTGCCCTGCGTGATGCGGTTGACCTGGTGTTTGTGTGCCCGCCATACGAGGAGGTGGTCTACTCCCGTCTGGTCAGCTGCATCGCCTCCAGCCCGCTCATCAAGGAGGACACCATCGTGCTCATCGAATACCCTTCAGAGATCGGCACCCTGCCGCCCGTATGTGCCACACACACACCCGGACACGCGCACCCACACGTGGATGACATCTTTGCGTGGCCATGGCAATGCAGGTTATGGGCGACGGTCGTCTGGTGGGTCTGCGCAACCGCAAGTACGGCCGCACGGTGCTCGGCGTGTTCATCGCCGACCCCACCGGCAGGTTCGACGCGGAGCCCCGGGCACATGAGTTTGTGCCGGTGCATCTCACCAAGAAAGCTCTCAAGGCTGAGGGATATCTCATCAAGACCACTGCATGACTCAGGCGAGCGCGTGTGGTGTGTGTGTGTGGTGGCGGGGCTGCATATTTTGGGGTGCGTGCATGGCTGGCACTGCCAGATGCGTGTACGGTCAGATCCACGCGTGCGTGTATGGCGAGATGTGATAGAGAAATGACAGAGAAACATAGGGCTGCCCCACAACGCACAGAACTGGCCGTTCCCTGGCCATCCACAGCCTCTTGCAATGAGATGCCGGACGTGATGCCGGGCAGAGCTGGTGTTTTGTGGCTGGATGATCTCGGGTATCACAGCACCTACAGCCACACACACGCACACGCACACACACACACACATTCACACACAAAACAGCACACAGCTCATGGTAGTGTGCAGGTTCCCTTTGGTTCTCTCCCCCTCCTTCCCTCCGTCTGTCCCTCCCTGCCTCCCTGCCTCCCTCAGTGCCTCCCATATCGCTCTTGCCGATGATAGTTGTGTCAGAATCAAACGAATTGCCGTTTTACGGAGTGATGCCCGTTAACGCTGTACCGTGTACAAAATCAGATTCCTTCAGATCCGCAAATCGAAATGGCGTGCTTCCTCCGTCTGTGCGTGCTTCTTCTGGCGACGCTCCTCCCGGGCCGCGTGCTGTGCGGCTGTGACCCAGGTCAGAGACGCACGTACAGTGAGAGAGCCAGCTGCACAGTGACACACGACGTCGTCCACGCGTGTCTGCAGATGACAAGGGTGACTGCAAGTATATCTACGCCGGTTTGTGTGTGTGCTGTGAGAGAAGGGGTGGAAGCACTGAGTCTCCACACGTACGTTTTCCTTCGTCGCTTTGCGTGCAGGGAAGAACGACAAGAAACCGGAGGCAACCGCCCGGAACGGTGAAGTGGTCGCTGGCGGCGACGTCAGGTCTGCGGGCAGCGTGCTCGGTGATGTCAACGTCAGGGCTGGGAATAACGTGATCGCTAACAACGTCGTCGTTGCTGGGGACAGAGTGGACTCACAAAACGGCCTGAACATCCTCACTACTGACCGGACACAGCATGGCATCAGGTTCCCTGGCGACCGACGCATCAGTAAGCAAGAGCTATCGGCCCGTACAGTACACGAAGCGAGTGCGTGGCTGGATGCATGCAGTATGGCACCCCCACAGTGCCCTGGAGTCGATGAGGAACTTCTACTTTCCTACGATATTCGTTAACGAACTAAGGGACAGGAAACCTCCTTTCGGTCTACTCGAACCCGTCGCCGGCGACAGGCGTGCCTCAGACCTGAGCAAGAGGCCCGACAGGCGACCTACGACGGGTGCTTACAGTCAACACATTTCTGCGTGCACTGCTTTCCTGTGCTCTGCTCTTTGTCTTGCAGCTTCTCGAAGCTGTCTCTGAAGACCTACGAAGACGAACAGGGGTCTGTGAAGCTCGGCTTGGTGCCTGCTGACGTGAAGGCCGTCCTCCCTGAGGTTGTCTCGCAAGAGACTCAGTGGGAGGCCGAAGAGGAAGTGGAAGAAGAGGGAGTGGGCTTGATGCAGCTGCTGTATCGCACCGTGGGAGTGGTCCAGGACATGCAGGCCAAGATCACAGCACTCGAGAAAGCCAACGCGGCGATGGCCCGCCAGCTCGAGCTCAAGACAGAGGAGAGCGAGGAGCCGGACGCGGTGGTCGAGCAGCTGGCGGAAAGCCTCAAGGGACTTCTGCAGCCGTGAATGCGGACAATCTGACCTACATGCGTTGGTATCGTCTGTTCTTTCCTTGTGTGTGACCTGCATGTTGCGATGCCCAGCGAAAGGAGCCGGGTGGCTGGACTGCAGTATGTTCTCTGCGTGTGCGTGTGCCGGTGTGTGCCGTTGTGTGAGTGCATGTATGTGTCCGTGTGTCCGTGTGCGTGTGTGCGTGTGTGTGCGCGCTGTGGCTGGCGCCCTGTGTCTGTCTGTGTGTATCGCGTATACTGTTGATTTGTGCTGAGACTCCGCGTCGGGCCTTTTCCCTTTCGTGAGAGCAGCACGTGGTGACTGAGACGTGCAGCGATTACACTGCTCGTGATTTCTGTGACTTTCGATTTGTTTATTTCCTTGTGGTCGATGTTCTGTTGACTTTTGGAGTACTGCCCGGCACTGATGTACTGTATGCCTGTGCTGTCTTGATGTGACGACAGACAGTGCGACTCGATTCATGTGCAGACACAGTCCGAACACCTAGACTTCGCGTCCAACAGTGCATGGCCAGTCAGTCAGCTCTTGCTGGCCGCCAACCCAGTCCAAGTGTGCCCATTTTATGTCTCACGCCACGCCCAGTGGCACACGCAGGCTGTGCCACGCCACCCTTCCTTCAAAGTTGACGGCAGCCCGCAGGACGTCCGCACTGCGGGGATAATTCATCCATCCCACAAAGAAGAACATCAAGGATTGCGTCCAGCAGCTGGCTGGATGGATGGATGGATGTGGTTGTCGCGTGACGCACTGATGTGACTTGGGTGCGCCAGGCGAGTCCCGACAGGCTCAATCGGGGTGACGGCTGCGGGCGGGATTCATAAGACGGAGGGCCCTTTGGGGGCCGCATGCAGCTGAGCAAGCTTTTCCACCGTATGCTGGGAGGATGGCAACGGTGCAGTCGGTTGCGCAGTCGGAGACCCTGCTGGTAGCTCTCTTCGACTTTCCGCCGCCCGACCTCGAGTTAGCTTGGCCCACCCACTCCTGGAAGCCGCTGAAGGTCACCGAGGGCCAGGTGAGTGCATCATGGGTGGGTCAGGACGGCACCATGGTGCAGCATTGTCGAGCCTTTTCCATTTGCGCTACGGTTGGCCTCAATTGATGCAGATTTTGGAGGTGCTGGGGGAGTCGAGCGATGGGTGGCTGTACGCTGCGCCTTACAATGATGGGACATCCGATGAGGCAGACGAGGCCGGGAAGGAGAGAGGCGGGCAGGTACGTGTGCATGTTGATCACATTTGCAGTGGCGGCGTGTGTGTTTGAATGTCTGTCTTGTCTAAAGGTGTTCGGTCTGTTGCCGGCAAGCTACACGATGCCCGTGCGAGAGTACCTCAAGCTGCACGACTCTATCGCCAGCAGCAACAGCGATGGGCCCTCCCCCTCCCCGTCTCCCTCCCCCTCTCCCTCTCCCTGCCCGCCAGCCGTCGATAAGGACCACAGCCACACTCCCATCGCACCTGCTTCACGTGCCCGGCCCGATCCATTCGCCATGATCCCACCAGACCCCCTCAGCAGGCTGGAGAAGTATCGCAGAGCACTCACAGGCATCACTGACAGCCCCCTACCCCGAGGGAAAGGACCGAAAGAAAAGGAGGCGTTTCGCAGATCCAAGACGGCTCCACAAATGATTGAGGCTCCGGCAATGTCGGCATCAGCAGCTGCCCCAGCTGCACATGGCGATGGTGCGTCTGCATTGGCTTGTGAGGATCACGCGAGCCAGTCTTCCTCCCTCCCGCCGGACACGGAGACACCCGTCTCCGCTGGTGTGAATGTGGTGGCCACGGAGACAGAGATGGTGAAGGTGGAGCCGTGCTGTCTGCCCGTGATGCCGCTCACATCAGTGGGGGGTGCGGTGGGGGAGTCTGCCTCTGGCTTCGAGCTGACGCGGTACCCCTCCCCTTATGCATCCTGCATCGGCATCGAGTCGGTAGAGGGAGCTGCTGAGAGGGACGCCACCCTCCCCCCATGTGCACGCAGGACACCTGTGCGGACACCTGTGCGATCGTCACTTCCCACCATTGCCGAACACAGGTGGGTGCTGCGCCTTCCCTCTCTCTGTCTTTGAATGTATGAGACCACTCATGTCCAACAGGAGGGTGCTCCCCGCCATCGAGACGGGCATCCATGATGGCGACGGCGGCTTTGCCCTCCCATCCCTTCTCTCATCGTCCAAGCACCACCACCACCACCAGCAACGAAACAAGCATTCATGGGAAGGACGGCGGCAGTCGGTCTGTACGGGCGTGCAGACCAGTCCCTACACCACATCCATGAGAAGAAAGTCATCGCACGGCGGCCAGCGAAGCCCCCCAACACGCAAAACATCCGCCAGAAAGAGACCACCACCACGACCTGCTGCTGCTACCGCTGAAAAAGAGGCAGCCACACACCTACGTCGATTCTCGGCCCCTGAGCGCACCACCCCTCCCCCAGTGAAGCGCTGGGCCCCTATGTCGATGTCCATGGCGACCCCCACCCCTCTCCCTCCACCCGTCCATGCGTCTCGTGACGGCCCCGCATCACGGCTGATCAGCAGCTGGGGCACTGCCCCGCCGGTACACGTGCCTGTAACGAGGCTGAGGAATCGCAGAGTGCAGACGGTGACGGTGCCAGAGAAAGACGACAGGGAGATTGCCGTGGATGCCGTCGCGCGCCGTGTGGTGGAGCAGGCCGTGCAGAAGGCGCTTACAGAGGTCATCCACGAGCACAAGGAGATAGAGAACAAGGCTGTCTCTGACCCGGAGACCACCCCCACAGCTACCGCCCGATCGAGAGCCCTCTCCCGGCCGTCATCGGGCCACATGAGCGCTTCTCATCGGTTCTACATCGTCCCTGCGCCGATGCTTGAGAAGCTGGTCAAGAAGGGAGGAGGCGGAGGGGCGAAAGCCCGGGGGGCAACGGACTCGCCCGGCGATGTGTGTGCGTCGCTGCCTTCGTTCTATGCTGTGCCGAACGATCCCCCGGCCAGACGGACACCCACCATCGGCAAGAGGTCTTCACGCGCATCTGATGCACTGCCAAGGGTACACACACAGACACGCACAAGGGGAGAGAGAGAGGCACACCGAGACACAAAGACGCCTCCGATCTTCGATTCATCCAGGTGTCCGCCACACCGCCCCTGATATCAGCCCCCTCCTCTCCTGACACCAACACCCACCACCACCGGGACCACCACCAGCAGCCATCCACCGAGTACGACTACTTCAGAGCTGCCCTGTTCGACAGACTCAGGAGCCCCCCAGCGTCTCGCAGGAAGTCAGCCAAGCGGAGGCGGTCGTCAACGGGCCGGAGAGGCAGCAGTCAGGAGAGGAGCCATCATGCCGCCGCCGACAGAAGAGCTACCACTTTGCCGTCGTTCGGCGACCCAGCCGCCTCCGCATCTGTTGCCCAGTCCTCGTTTGCTGCTGCTCAGGTAGGTGACAATGGATCGATGCGTGTGGGCCTGCACGTGATCGATCAGGCAAGTCACTCCTTGTTTGTGTGTCCCTGTATGTGTATGTGTGCAGCGAGACATGCAAATGCGTCGGCCGTCCAGCAGAAAGAGGGAGAGGCGGACTCGGCTGCTGGGGTGGTCCCCAAACCCTCACCACAGCAACAGCCCAACAATGCGCAGACGATCCCTGTCAATGTCTCGCCGATCATCCGCACGCAGACGCCTCTCTGCCTCCGCACACAAGAGGCAGCAGCAGCAGCAGCAGCAGCCATCGGCAATGGCGATGGCAACGTCCTCCCCGCCCACCTGTCCGGTTGGCAAGAAGCTCGCCGACTCGCCCATGTGCACATCGGCTGTGGTGACCTCTGATTCGCCCACAGGGGCCGTGCTCAGCCGGCCAACCACTGCAGGGAAGACACGAAATCTCAACAAGGGAACGACGTCTGAAGGGGATCATGTGCTGTCTCCCCCACACCACCACCACCACCACCAGCAGAGGGGGAGCAAAGACAAAGAGAGAGATCGGCTATTCAGCGCGACGACACTCAAGAGCGACGCCACGAGCAAACACACGGACCTCACGGCCACGTTCTCGCCCTCGTTCTCGTCGGCATCGAGACGCCGCTCGTCGACCCCCTCTCTGACCACAAGGATGGCCTTCTCTGCGCTGGAAGAGGCCAAGATGACGGGCAGCCTCGGAGCGATACATGTGCCCGACTGGAGAGAGAGGGGGAGAGAGGGAAGGGCGTATGGTGGTGGTGGTGGTGTGGGTGTGGGTGTGGAGGGTGAGAGCAGGATTTTGGCTAACATGGAGATGTGGCTGGACAAACTATCGCGGCAGCAGCGGAATGCTGCCGTCAGGTTCTTAACCAAGCGGGCTTTCACATATGGGGCGTGACACACTCAGGAGGGAGGGGGCCTGTGTCTCTCCGTGTGTCTCTCTGAGTGGTGTAAGTGGGTGTGCGTGTGGGTGTGGGTGGGTCGTGGGTGGAACGGGGCGAGAAAATTTGTCTTGTCCATGCAGTCGACCTATCGGACTCCACACACACATTTTGACACACACATGAACATGAGAGTGGCAAAATGTCAACATGTCCGTCCGTCTGTCTATCCAGCGGGTGGCATAACAGCTACAAACCCAAACAGACTATGGTCTGTGTTACGCATGGATTCACTCCTTGTCGTCTTGCACGATGGGCAGGTCCCTCCGTGTGAGCAGCCCCTGTGAGAAGGCGCGCAGCCTGTCCAATCCGCGGACCTCCTCACTCGCCAAAGGCATACACACTGACACACACACGGACGGCACGCACAGAGGGAGAGAAGAGAGATCTGATCTGGTGGCGTGGCACTCCCGGCCAGCCCGCAGAGAGGCCCTCCCTTGTGTCTGTCGGCTGATTTACGTACCGACGTTGAAGTCTTCTGTGTAGAGGTCCTGTATCTGGCAGAGGTACTTGGACTGCATCTTCCGACGGCAGTGCAGATTGGCCTCCAACGCACACACCTAATGAGGGATACATACACCCCCACACAGACACACACAGACACACACACACACACACACACAGAGAGAGAGAGAGAGAGAGAGACTTCGATAGTGTGTGTTATATATCTGCCAGCACCTCACCTTCTTCCTGAGTGTTCTGTTTTCCCTCCTCAGTGCAGCGATGGTCTCGGATGGATCGACGTCTGCACCCATGGGGTGGGGCTCGTCCTTTGACTCATCGTCTGCCTCTGCCGCAGCTAAGTCATCCGGCACGTCTGCACACACATGAGAACCGAACCATGGCTGGTGCGTGTGTGTGTGTGTGTGTGTGGTTTCTGTCTGTTACTCACCGACGGGGAAGAGCACTTGGTTGACGATGATGTTGCTGCAGTCGATGCCCTGCCTGCACACCACACACACGTGCACCAGACACCCACGCCAGCCGCCTACATGGCCCGTTCCGCCTCCCTGTGTTGGGTGGGTAGCCTTTGTCCATCCACTCACTTGGCGAGTTCCTGCACCAGCCTCTCCGTCTCGTAGACGCTGAGGAACTCGGGGATGCACACACACACAAACGTCGTCTGCGTCTGCACACACAACACATCACACACGAGCGTGACGTCCCTCGTGTGTGTGTTGGCATGGCATTCATGGCGTGTCTTACGGGATCTTGCAGCGTCTCCCGCACTGATGTGGTGATGGCCTTGAGCCCATCGAGACGATTGTGCATCTGAATCAACACACACACACACACACACATCCACACACAGAGGGGCATCAACAACACCACCCCCCGGCGCGTGTGTGCGGGCTTACGTCTTCCTCGTTGAATGACTGCCCGGCGACCATGTTGAGCATCTGCAGGGCCCCCTGCATCTTGTTCTTGATGGCCTGGATCTTCTGCAGGGCCTTCTCCAACAGGTCGGGGAAGGACAGCAGCCGCAGCGTGTGGCCCGTGGGGGCCGTGTCGAACACTATCACGTCGTACTTCATCGACTGCACTGACCTGACCGACCGAATGACCGATCAACCACCACACACAACACACGACACATGACGCACCCCTCTGCGTGTGTGCGTGTGGCGGCTCTCTCTCTCTCTCTCTGTGTGTGTGTGTGTGTGTGTGTGTGTTCCATACTTACTGCATGAGTTCTGCGAATGAGAGTGCCTCGTCGATGCCCGGGAAGGCAGACAGCAGCTCGGGCAGGACACGGTTCCAGCCCTCGTCCGTCTTGAGCCGAAACTCAGCGTTCTCCTGGTACGATGAATCGATCTCCTAAACACACACACACACACACACATGGACACAGAGGGGGCGGGGGAGAGGGAGGGAGGGAGGGCATTCCGGTGTGGTGTGTGTGTGTGCAGTCGCGTCCTCACCATGGCGTGGAGGTTGTCGAATCCGTCAATGAGTGTGGGCGTGTTGGTGAACTTCTGCGTGAAGGCATCGCTCAAGTTGTGCGCCGGGTCGGTGGACAGTATCAACACCTACACGCACACACACATCCATCCATCCATGTGTGTGTGCGCATCTGTGTGTGGCACGTGTGATGTGATCTGTGCAGCGTTCGTACGCTTCCCCTCCTTTTGGCGAGTTCTACGGCGATGGAGCATGAGGTGGTGGTCTTGCCCACCCCGCCCTTGCCGCCCACAAAGATCCACTTGTACGACGGTGTGCAGATCAACTCCTGCAACACACACACACATATACAGAGAGAGTGAATCCTCGGCATACAGAGATATGTGTGTGTGTGTGTGTGTGTGTGTGTATGGCTGCACGGCTGACTGACCTCGAGAGTCGAGTGTTCCATCAGTTCTTCGTCCCCATCGGCAGCTATGGCCATGGACATGGGCACAGCGGCTGCTGCTGCTGCGGCTGCTGCTGCTGCGGCCTCGCCACCGGCGGCGGCCGCTGACGAAGATGATGATGCCTCCATAAGACGCCCAGACGATCGGTGCTTCTCACGTGAGAGCAGGGAGATCAACGTGGGAGAGAGGGAGAGACAACGAGATGGCAAGAGATGACAGCCGCAGGTGATTCGTCTCAACCCAGAAAAGGTTCACACACACAAGCATCCCGGCACAGCGCGCTAAGCAGAAAGGCTCGTGCGAGCTGTGGATCTTTGCCTGGTACCAGTGAGGCTGTAATTCCAAGCAATTAAGTGCAGCGGCACCAGTACAAGCAGAGATCTCCACTGCCGTGTGGTCGAGGCAGGCTCTCGGTCGTCGGGCGGTATTGACGTGACGTTGGTCTGTCTGGCTGTGGTTTGGATCCTATGGCAGAGAACAGCACCGTGGCGGGGACCAGCTTCCCGCTGCTGACGGCGTCGATGAACGCTGGGGAGTCCATCTACGCCCCGCCCGCGCCGCCTCCAGCAACATGCACCGCTCTGTCAGCACCGCCACAGGTCAGTCAGTGAACGGATCATTGCCAACACCGTGGATGGCAACACACAACACAACACAACACAACACACGGATGTGTGTGTGTGTCTGTGTGTGTGTGTGTGTGTGTGTGCGTGTGTGTGTGCAGGGTTATCTGCCGCCGAGTGGCGTGAGCGCAGGGCATCCCACTCTGACGGCGTCCTCGTACGTGGCGCCCGACGGGCTGCCGAGCAACAACACCAGCCAGTGGTCGGCGGACATGCCTTCGGGCATCGACCCCCTGAACTACAATCCCCACCAGCCGCCGAGGCTCACCGCGAGTGTGTATCAAAAGAACGAGGGCAACCACGGTGGTCCACAGGGGGGGCTGCTGAACGTGCCGGGGCAGCTCAACTCGAGCCTGAGCGACCTGCCGCCGATGCACAGCTACCCCCACCACACAAAGGCTGTCACACCGGTGCACGTCCCGATGAACCTCATACCCAACACAGACGACGCACACGTGAGCCACTCGCCACGCACGCACACAGACAGACAGACAGACAGACAGACAGACACATGGATGGATGGATGGATGGATGGATGGATGTCGTGCGTGTTGTGTGCAGCCGCTGCTGACTATGACCGCGAGTGGGCTCACTGAGGGCGATAGAGACATCCACGACAGCAAGAGCTCCACAGGGACGACCGACAAGGACAAGCAGACCACCGCGGGCCCCAAGTGGGTCAAGGGCCGGCAGGGGCTGCAGGAGTTCGTGGCCACGCCCCACGTGGGCCTGGAGGACCCCCCTACGGCGTGGAACGAGCAGCGGGAGGCCTGTGTCAAGGCCTGCATGGACGACATGAAGAGAATCGCACGGGGGAAGAAGGTCGGTGGCTCCGCTTCTGTCTGTGTGCCAGTGGGTGTGTTGAGGGATGGGTGTGTGTGGTTGTTTGTGTTTGTGTAGGGAATGGCGTCACTGTATGAGGACAAGGGCTTCCCGGCTGTGGATGAGTCCATCTACGGCACGGAGGTCGAGGGGCCCAAAGACGACCTCGTCTGGTGGTGCGTCTGTGAGACCACAGCACTCACACACACGCACGACACGATGGATGGATGATGCACTTAAGCCGCTTGTGTGCGTTGTCTTGGTTGTCTTCGTTCATTGGTTGGTTGGTTGTGTGTATGACATGCCAGCCGCGTGGGTGACATTTTTAACCCCGCCCCGGACGCCGCCATGTCGGTCAGCGGGTCCTCGGCATTCTTCCGGGGTACGTCACGTCGGCCGAACCAATTGACACCCATCTGTGTGTGCGTGTGTGTGTGTGTGTCTGTGTTAAGGTCCGTTGGACGATTCCTTTTTCCACGGTGCGTTGGCGACTTTGCGTGCGACGTCTGTGACGGCGGCGTCGGACGCTCTGGTGCAGTACGACCCGCAGATGGGCATCTACGGGGTCGTCATGTACCTGGTATGGTACACACGCACAGCACAGGTGTCTGTGTGGCATGTGTGTGTAGGGCCGCTATGGGTGTGTGTGTGTGTGTTGGTTAGGACGGTGTGTGGGTGTATGACGTGTTGGACGACTTCGTGCCGTTCCGCAAGAAGGAGGGCCAGACGGTCAAGAAGACGCACATGGCCTTCGGGCGTACCTCTAAACACGACGAGTACTGGGTGGCGCTGCTCGAAAAGGTCACACCAACCCCGAACCACACACACGCACTCCACACAATCTCTTTTTGGTTCTCTCCGTGTCTGTCTGTGTGTCTCTCTCTGTATTGTGTGTAGGCGTATGCTAAGCTGCACGGGTCGTACGCCACGATGGTGACGAGCATCGAGCGGGACGTGCTGACGGCACTCACCGGGGTCACGTCAAAGGAGGTACCTAAGGCAAGGCAGCCAGCCAGGCCTCCCACCCACATCCCTCGATGAACGCACTCCACTCCGTGAGTGTCTTGTCTTCTGTTGTCTTGTGTTGTGTTGAGAGATCTCGATGAGCACTTTCGACGTGTGGTCCGAGCAGTACGAGTACCTCAGAAACCACAGCCGTAACAGGTGACTGGCTGGGTGGGCTATATCATCGTGGCTATCCCCCTGGCTGCGCCTGTCCATCCATCCATCTCTCGGTGTGTGTGTGCTATCCTCCGTCTCCATCCATCAGTTTTGCGTTGTGCGCGGTGCTCAACAAGCCCAATGTGCCCAAAGGGGCAGAGGTCAACGGACTCCAAAACGGTGAGTAACCAACCCTTCACACACAGCACTCAACACGCACCAGACAGACAGACAGACAGGCAGACAGGCAGGCAGGCTCTCTCCGTCCGTGTGATGTGTGTCTACCTACAGGGTCTGTGTACCCCGTGTTGCGGTTTGCCACCCTCGAGAACGTCAAGCTGGTGGAGCTGCAGAACCCATGGAACTTCAGCTCCTGGCGCGGCAGGTGAGTGTGTGAGACTGCACACCACAACCCCTCACACACATAGACGGGCGTCTCTCTCTCTCTCTCTCGTGTGTGTGTGTGTGTGTGTGTCTCTGTGTCTCTGTGTGTGTGCAGGTGGGGCCTGACGTCAGCCGAGATGACGTTGGAGCGTGTCAAGAAGCTGGGCGTAGACCCCTCCCGCTGCTCATTCTGGATGGCCTGCGACGACTTCTGCCAGACCTTCTCCCACTGCACCGCTGTCCGACTCCTCAGAGAACCCAAATGGCACTCCGCCGTAAGCACAGCACAGCACGGGAGAAGGACGATCGGTGGCCGGCCATCGTGTGAGTGAATGGTGCTCTTGTGTGTGTGTGTGTGTGTGTCAGTCGTGCATCAGCACGTCTCGCGAGCCCGCAATGGTGCTGGTTGGCGTCAAGAGCGCCGCGCACGCCCACTTCGCCCTGTCGCAGCCGAGGTGACATGACAGCTGACAATCTCTCACTCTTTCGCACTGACGGACACTGTGTTGGGTGGTGTGTGTGTGTGTTTAGTGCTTTGAGCGGGTCCACTGACGAGAAAGTCGAGATATGCCTGCAGCTGTTCCAGACAAAGCTGGAGGCAGACAAACCCAAAGGCACGCACACGAACACACGCGTCCATCCATCCATCCATCTCTCCATCTTTCTCTCTCTCTCTGTGTGTGTGTGTGTGTGTGCGTGCGTGTAGATGAGCGTTACGACCCTCTGGAGGTGATTCTGCAGGTGGGTCCGCAGCAGCAGCAGGGGCTCGTGGCCGACCTCAAGCTGCTACCCGGATACATCTACCTCTGCAGAGTCTCGTCCGACAAACCGTACGCACCACCCACACACAACAAAAGACCACACACACAGACTTGACACTGTGTTCCCTCGTCGTGTGTGTGTTGGTGTGCAGGTGTGACCGACTGCATCTGCGCGTGTTCGTGTCGCAGCTCTTCGCATTCAGGCACGCACACCGCCATCCATCCATCCATCCATCAATCCATCCACTGTCTCTCTGTCGTCTGTCCGTCAGGCTGTGTGGTGACGACGACAAGGCCGTCTTCGAGTCGGCGCTCAAGCGGGCCGCCCCCCCGTTCCCCCTGCAGCTGCTGCTCAAGACCTTCTTCGACCCCTCCGGCATGCAAGGTGCCTCCACCCCCACTCCACTTACCCTTCCCCCTCACATAACACAGCAACACAGGCTCCATCTCCCTCTCTTTCTCTCTCTCCCTCTCTCTCTCTGGATGTGTGTGTGTGGCAGGTTCTGCTGTGGTAGTGGCGTCCCCCCGCCCCGCGGCGTTCAGACGGCACAAGACCCGCGTGTACGGCGACGCCGAAGGCCTGTGGGAGGCCCTCGGGCGGGACGACCATCCCCACCCCCACACAAACAACCCACCCCACAACACCCCCACCACACACGGACAGCACACGCCCCCGCCCATGTTCGAGAGCGACGACGAGGTCTACCCCACACACATGCACCCGGCCCTCAGCAACATCTGGTCCCTCCTCTGCTGCGCCGCCTTCGGGCACAAGCGGCCCGGCGGCCCCCTGCTGCGCTGCGAGACCGAAGACGCCACCGAGGGCCTCAGACGCGCCCTCAACGAGCTCGAGGTCGTCAACCTCACCAACTCTGGCCACCAGAGCAACGAGGGCCTCACCCCATCGACACACACCTCCCTCATGAGCAGCAAGAACGCCATCGCCAATGCAGCTGCGGCGGCTGCTGCTGCGGATGCTGCTGCGGGGGTTTTCCGATCTGGCGGCGGGATGACGGGTATGGCCAGCACGACAGTGCCGCCTGCGAGCGGCCGGCTGCGGCAGAGCCACCTGTTCCCCACGACCCTGCAGATGCCCATTGACGCGTCGACGAGAGCTGACGGGTCGACCATGCCGTCCTCCGTCAACTCGACACGCGCTTCGTAATGCGGCCTGGTGCGGCGTGGTGTGATGTGATGTGATGTGTGTGGCCCGTCCCCGTGTGTGGCGCACACGGCGTGTAGTTTAAGTCCTTACTGGCTGACTCTCTGGCTGTCTGTCTGTCATCGTGGGTGAGGGAGGGTGTTGGGAGAGGGCATTTCCTTTCCATCTGTCTGTCTGAGTCTAGATGTCTCGCTGTCTGTGGTGGGGGATGAGAGTGGATGCCTCTCTGTCTCTGGACCTGCCTAGGTGCTTTCATGGGCGCGCCGCGGTGTTTGTTCATTGGGGCGATCCTGCCGCTGCGTGACAGCTGGTCGTGGGCTGCACGCAGCAGAGAGGAGGGAGGGAGCGTGCTGCTAGCTGAGTGAGTGAGTATCGCAGTCCGTCCTCATCTGTTTTATGTTTCCGTTTTTGCACATGCAAGAAAGACACGAGAGAGAGAGAGAGCGCCCTGGCTGGTTGGAGTGAGGTGAGCTGGCGCCAGCCGTTGTGTATCGTCCATCATCTTTGTGTGGTGGGTGCCTGCCTGCCTGCGTGTTGCACGTGGGATTCCTCGCTGCCCGTCTCTGCACCTCAGCGGTGTTGGGTGCTGCAGCCTGACAAGGGTGTGGTGGGGGCGAGGGGCGGACAGAAAGCCCATGTGTGCAGCCAGGCAGACAGGCAGGTGGGGAGGGGAAATTGGCAGACAGACGGTGCTCTGCTGTGCTGTGGTGCGATCTGGTGTGGCGTGGCGTGGAGGGGCGTGTATGGGAGGTTGCAGCGTATTCGTGGTTCTCTTATCCATGTGTGTCTAACTATGTGTGTGTGTGTGGTATCCCATCTCATGCATCGCACTCATTTGATTTGTTCCCCCGTGTGTCATTGATGCCTGCCTGCCTGACTGACTGACTGCCTGCTGTGTGCTGAGTGTGCATGCCTCTCTTTCTACTCTCTAACTGCCTGGAGACAACGTCGTGTGCGTGTAAGTGTGCGTGTGCGTGTCGGCAATTTGTGTTGTTCGTCTGTGTGTCTTTTCTGCTGTAAATGTATCTATCGGTGTGTGAGAGCGTCTCGTCTTGCTGGTTCTCTCTGGCTGGCTGCATCGCTGCGTGGGCGCTGTTTGGTTGGGCTGGTTGGGACGGAAACTTTATCAGTCGACTGATGTGTGTGTGTGTGTATGTGCGAGCGAGCTGGTGGGGGGTGCTGGGTGC